TCAAAGAAGAAACTTCAGTGTAACCCATTTTGTTGAATGATATCAATTACCCTTGGTGGCCCGGATACAAGCGCGTTAGGGAATAGATTTGGCAGGTGACCCCCACCTTTTCATGTCCAATCGTAGCATCAAACCCCAGACTTCTACGTGAAAGGCGTTACCACTGCGCCATCCAAACACCTCTGATTTCCCTGCGTAATCTACTGATTGATTTACATGTTCAGGTCAGTAATGGCGCTGGATGTGGACTTAAAACGACGGTTACTGTACAGAGTATGTGGCTATAGATTTCAATTTCTTTCTCTGACTTGTTCATGTGTTAGCTCTTGCTATCGCCGTATTTATGTACAGGCATGAGTTAACGTTTCTATGAGATGATGCTTTCCTCCATCCCTCTTAAGATTATTATTAAGGTTATTGGGGTGGTACCTGATGTGGAGGTAAACAGTGCATTGACGTTAAAGTGATGATAATAATTACTTAATATTCATAGCCAGGGGGTTGTTGATGATGATGATTTACATGGAATCTCGTAATGCTATAAGAATCGAATATAAACAAAGTATGTCCCTATCCTTATCAATGATTAATTGATCATTGTATTAGTGAATTATTCTTCAGGAAATTCACAAAACAGCAATCATTACACTGAACTTGCTTGAAGTACAATATAAATAGTTGTTAAGATACAGAAATGAAGATTCCATGTCAGATAATTATATACAATTATGTGAAGAATTAAAATAAAATATATTCTTGGGCTATTTTCCACTGTCAAACTGCTCCCCCCCCCCCCCATTGGTCAGCCATGAAACTTTTAAGTGTCATGAAAACCTCATTTTAGAACAAGACATTTACAATATTTCCTCCTGTCAAACCATTTCATACTTTTTCATAGCTGACCTTAAGCGATATTCACCCTTGAGTAGATACTATTAATATTGTGATATTAATTTTGTCTGTAGGTCATCCATATTCAATATCATTTAAGTCATAATGATGTCAAGCTTATCTCGTTCTTTACATTACAACAGATAGATCTGGAAATATTACAATGTCTTGTTGAACGTTTTAGTTCTGTTTACAATCAATAAATAGCTGCTTACGTTGACCGAATTAAGTCTAAACCACATTTTTATTTTATTGCTTTCCAGTGTTACTGGTCATTTTGTTAATACAGGTACCTAGCTGATTGTCAATGACTACGGCATAAAGATAACGTAAATGTATTTAACATGTAAACACGCTGATGTCTTAATTCTAGGCCCAGACTTCTATTTGGGACGTAAATGATATTATGGCTTTCTTAATAAACAAGAGTTCCTCGGAACTGTATGTGTCGCCTGCATAAAGTGTCATGGTCACCCAGAAATTGAACTGAATGTGCAACGATCAACCATAAAGTTGTAATACCAAATTTCATTTCTATAACTTGAAGCATAACCAAAGAGAGTCAAGAAAACAATATTCCCAGATAATTTTCTAAGTTCAAAGGGGCATAACTCAGCCAAGAAAGGTCACAGACAGCCAGGAATCAAACTTAATCTGTACCCATGCAACAAGAAGCCATATACCAAATTTCATTTCGATAACTCAAAGCATAAGCCAAAAAAGTCAGGAAAACAATATTCCCAGGAAATTTTCTACGTTGAAAGGGGTATAACTCTGCCAAAAAGGGTCACAGACAGCCAGGAATCAAACTTAATCTGAACCGTTGCAACAAAAAGCCATATGCCAAATATCATTTTGATAACTCAAAGCATTACCGAAAAAAGTCCAGAAAACTTTCATACGGACGACACCGACGTGTGACGACGGACAACGTGATCCCTAAGTGTCCGCCAGCTCTTCAGGCTGTAATGGAAATTGAAGTATAAGAGTTATGTCCCTTGAATATGACTTGTGTAATGGAAATTGAAGTATAAGAGTTATGTCCCTTGAATATGATTCTAGCTAATTACATTACATATTTGGTTAATTTGTTCATCTAATGATTTTTGTCGATTAATACAAATGTTTATAATTATGTAGTAAGATATAGAAAGGTATTTTGTACTATGTTGATATTTTAGTATGCATCATTTATGGTAAATTAAATACTAACGATTGTCACACCTAATGAAAGAGTTTATTATACATGTAAATAGAAATTACTTAGAATGATTGCAAGCGCTGTTATACTGACTGTTGGTGAAGCATTCAGAGATGCACAGACAACGAAAGACTTCTTACTAAGCAAGTAACACAGTCATTTGTAACAGGTGGTAGGTGAAAGTCTGAAATAGTGGCTTTTCCGAAACCGCTTGTCAAGTTGGTGCGAGAGCTGTTTAGTTCTCACCGAAGCTTGGACTTTTGACTGTGGGTAGCTAGCTATAGGGTTAGGTTAGAACACGAGCAAGGGTGGACTTAGTTGGTAGGACAACCTAGTGCTTAGTCAGGACCGACTTAGTGGTATTGCTCGGCGACCAGTTCAGTAGTTGGAACTAGGGTTAGGTGAAGTCACTGGGTGTCGAGCTTGCACTCACTCTCACATGCTAGTCAGAACAGTCTGTGTCGGGACAGCAGTCCATGTGAATACTAGTTCATTCGTTTGTTTTATTGTTAACTCAGGTAGAGTTTGCTCTTCCATGCTATATGTATATATCGGCATTTGTTAGCTAGTACCTCTGCAAGGAATCAGAGACTTACCCACCGTGTGCAAAGCTAGGCTGCACGTTACACAGGCGACAATAAAAATGATCAAATCGCATTGTCTTCATGTTATCTTATTAGTACGCACACCAAGTTCTATACAAGGTTTTATAGTTCTACCAACTAGCCATTTCAATTTACTTCCATTAACAAAATGGTAGCTATCAGGTGGCGATATAGTTTTCCATTTTCCATGTCTCTTACAGCTCATTACAATGACAAATATATAACAATATTGTCAACATAAAGCAAGAGGCCTGATGTGCCTGTGTTACTCACATATCAATTTCTACACCAAAAAGTGGTTATATTTAATGTTAATTTAGACTTTATACATAATTACTGTTAAAACTTAGTAAGCTTTTCATAATCAAGACTAAAACTAATGACTTTAAAACTAATGGACTCTTTTCTGGATGACAATTTTGATCCCTGTGATGTTGAATATGGTCAATGTCTTTTCTTTCCACAAGTTGTCTTCAACTTGAACTTGCCAAACAACTGTTGATGGCTGACATGTCTCAGCAGAAGTTCACTTGAAATTTTTGGGCCAAGTTATCTAAAAATAGCTAGAAATTTAAATTAAACAAAACAAATATCAAGAAAATACCAACATGTTAACATAATCATTTTCCCAACTCTAATTCCATAAAACTATGGCAAAAATATTAACAAAAGAAAGATTTACACGGAAACCCTGGAAAAAAACACCTGTCAATACAGGTTAATAATTAGAAAAAAAATAGGTTTATCATGTAAATAATTAGTAGCAATTCAAAAGCAATTTGATGGACGCAGGCTGAAAGCCTCTATATTCTTATCTAATATTTACATACAGAATAGTATCAATGACTTGGCTCTTGAAATGTACCTATTATATTGATTAAAAGTCATACATTATGTTCTTGAAATGATCAACCAATAGGTGAGTAGTCTTTATATCTATCTGCAGATTTTCCAGGTATCTGTGAATTTTGTTGATTATCCTGGTAAATTCATCACTAAGTGCAAGTTTTCTTTAATTCTTGGAAGAATGTTTTTTTATGGTATACATTTATCCACTGACGTTTTAAATATCTTTAGGAAATGATCATAAACTTCCTCAATGTCCTGTTCAAATAGAAAGTTCCAGTTTACTTTTAGAAGATCCTCTTTCATCTCATTGTAATCTCCCTTGTTGTAACAATATCCTTTGCTGAATTTGGTCAGATTACTTTTATGAAACAAGTATTTGAAAGATAAGACTAGATAATCACTTGTTTGTACTCTATATTATGTACAGTCTCCTCCTCATTACTGATGATATGATCAAGAATATTTTACTCATATCCTGACCTTATTCGAGTGTTTCTTTGGTATGTTGGTACAAATAGTTATCTCTCAGAAATTCAATGCCAGTGTATTCCAATTTATTTAAGAAAAATTGAAATCTTCAAATTATAAATACTGTTTACAAGATTGTACATATCTTCATTGTTCTTATTATCAGAGATGGGGCTATTGTATATACAGCCAATCTGACTTTTTTATTGATTTGTAGCGTTCTCATTTACAAACAGCTTGTATTCTGGGATACAAAGTTCTTCTTTCCATGTCAGGAACCGGAAGTTTTCGTGATAAATTTTGGTAATACCTATTATATCTTTATCAGATGTATTATTCTGAATTTCGGCTTTCAGTTCATCTAATTCATTTAAAAGGCTATTCGCATTTGTGTAAAAGCTGTCTATTCCGCCAGGTGTTTAAAGTTTAGTGGCTCCGTCCTTTAATTCGATATTTCCTCGTTTGATTATCAAATTATTTTCCTGTTCCACAGTGGTCCTGTGAGTGTGATATGGTATAAGCATTCCCCCTGGTCGGTATTCCTTTTAGCATTCTATTGTAATCCACTATCTTTTTCCATTAGGTCTTTATGAAGTCATTACATCATCCAACATTGATACGGTATCATATCATTCAAATGTATCATATAGTAAGTTCTTATCTGTTAATGTTATCAGTGTCGCCACGACAGACACGGAAACACGGGTCTGAAGTTGAGTCCGTGGAACTCTCAGCTAGATCATACACATTCTCCACATGAGATATAGAAAATGTTGTTTTATATATCATACACCAATGTCATCTAAAAATAACATGCCATTCACGGACTTCAGAAAAGCATGTCGTTTTGGTAAGTACTTTTCTAGCCAGATTCTAGTTTTCAAATCTTTAGCGGGCGAAGACACCTTACTGTTTCCGGAATTGACATGCGCATTCGGAAGTGGTCAAAGATACGAAACTGAGCCTAAGTGCAACACTCATTAGTCGACTGGCAGATCTATTCTAGAGTTTTAAGCTCGACAGTTGCATTCTCTGATTTTAAATGCCGGGTGACGTAATACACCTAAACGTTGGTGGGACCAGGTATGTAGAAAGTGTAAAGTTAAGGCGATATTACATGCAAAACATCTATTTTTCATCGATGTCAACATTGATCTAAAAATAAATACAAAATGTGTTACTAAAAATAGATGGCAAACGTTGCTTGCTTCTTCGGGTATGTCGATGTATAGGAATTTCATATTTTGTCAATATAATCAGAGTACCATTTATTCCGTAAAGAGAATATATCAACACTCGTCTTTCTCCCTGAATTTCTCCAGAAAATAGGCATTATCCGAGGCTTGACTGTTTCTGTTATTGAGGTCACTGAAGATGCATGGTGAGGACTGCATCAAACACAATATTAGTGTGGCTGCATACTATAGTACCAATGTTTTTAAGGGACGTATATTTGTATAACAGAGCAAAGATATTCAAGTTAACTAGCCTTGCTGTGTTTACACTGGTTTTCTCCAAATGTACATCAACGTTTTCAAAGTAAACAGGAATAAAATGTGTGATAATTTTGAAGTTGATTGTGCAAACTTTTCTGGATAATAATTTCTGTTGATTACTTTATATTCTTAAAACAGAACGAATATTACAGATATTTACATCTGAAATACCACCCTTTATTTTATTCCACTTTCAGTCAGAAATATGAAGAAAATCGTTCTTTAATTAAATAATGATGATTTAAAATAGCTGTGTAATTTTCCATTTGACATACATTTATTAGTATGATTTTTTGTTATGAAAATAAGATTCCCATCTCAATGTCAAATAATATGGCTCGTGTCTAGTCAGACAGTGCAAACTATCTACACTTCTACACTGTAGATAGTGTACAGTGGACAGGTATAGACCTAGTTTCCTCTGGTTCCTTTGGCAAATGTTAGATAATTTGACAGACCAGTCAAAGTTGTCTCTGATCCCAATATGTACACCAATCAGTTATTTTTTTCATGATTTACAGATATCTGTTGTATCCATTAAATTGACTTTATGACTGGAGTAGGAGCTAGAGGAAACTCTTGACTGAAAAATGCCACCTTTTTAATGTCAGACCACTACATTTATGTGATGGAAACGTGACAACGTTATGATTTACACATCCAAATGAGAAGAAAAATCCTGGTTTATTAGAAAAGGAGAGCTAACTTTTGAGTTCACTACCTAACAGTCTTCCTTCTTCCCGTTATTGTAATGATAATTAATTTCTCATTACAATTTCTGTTGTATAGGCTAGGTGTCTTATTCATATCAACATCTCTACAACATGAATATTAGAAGAGTTACATTTCAATATGTAATTCTTTGCTTCATTTTCAGGTATTCAACTTCAAGGCAAACACTAACATGGATTCCAGACTCTTTCTTCACAAGGTAAATGTTTATTATAAATTGTTGTAATGTGACAAATTTTTTTTAAATGTCTCAGAGATAATTTGATATTGTTACTTCAGTATATACACAATGTATTGAGTTTTCTATGTGTATAACACAGGTCATTACTTGTTTCAATGTCTCTGTTAAGATTCAATCCTGGGACCTTAGACTTACTAAAGTGACGCTTAACTGATCAAGCTAAAAAGCAATTCTCTATAGCAAAGCAGTTTATAATGGCTAGTATTTTACCAGGGTAACATGTCTTTGAAAATAAATCAGAGATTTTATTTTCATTGTTTCAAACAGTATATAGTGTACATGTATAAATTAGACTTGTGTTGAAGTCTGAAGTTAGAAATTAATCTACCAGGTAAAGGTTCATGGCCCTTAATTTCTTTAATGTATGGTTTACAACACTGCAAACCTTTCGGAATTATAAGATATTTCACTTTTGTAACTTCAGCATGCTAAGTGGAAGAATTTCATCCCTAAAGGATGAAACTGGAGCTGTGAGTATACCTTAAATATTCAGTTTTCCAGTTACCGTATGTGGCTACGTGGAGTAATTTCACATCCAAACATCACAATTAATTTCAGCACAAAAATCTTGAAATATGACACTGGGTTTTATGTATGACACTAGTGTTTTGTGGAAGAGGATTCAAATGAATTCTTGTAAAAGAAAAACATTCTGGTACAAACAATATTTGGCTATTCAAATATTGTAGAACTAACTTTGATTGTACATATGAGATCAGTATCATAACTTGTCATGGGATGGCTCTTGTACAATCACCAACATAAACAAACTCTATTTAGTGATCTCAAATTAAATTTTTCTTACAGATATGTTTTTGTTGGAAGTGATATTATTTTCATGACAAGAATATGTGTAAAATGAAAATTTGTTTGTTTACAGATATTTATAGACAGAGATCCAAAACTGTTTTCTGTAATACTGAACTTTATGAGAACCAAGGAAGTTGATTTGAGGTAATTCACTAACACCAAATATGGTCATAACACATAAAAGATGTGAAATAGAGAGGATCTTATACACAAGTTTACGTGATATGAGATTAATAAAACAAGACAAGAAAATAATAAACAGTATTTTAGTGAACATCTTGCTAGGTGAAATGAAAAGTGGTATTTCTTATGGTATGGAAGGAAACAAATGTGAATATCTGATAATCACATTGATGCTTTTGGCAGTACTCAATCAATAGTATTTTATTAAGACATCTGGTATGGAATCTTAATTGACTACATTCTCATTCTATATCACTTTCTTTGTTGATGTCATTGGATATGACACCATGAAATAACAACATTACAATTGAAACCATGGAAACCTTCAGCTAACCATAGCTCTAATATGTGTTACAATTTATTTAATGGGTGTTACAACACTGATTACACAACAGTTACCTGATAGACGTAGATATATTGACATCTCTGATAATTACGTCATGTTGATTTTTTTGTTTTGTTATATTTGTCTCAAGTTTAATACAGTTATTGTATGGTGTTGTGCCTTTGACATTAGGAATACCTGTCTGTCCATCTTAATTTTGTCAACATGAAACTTCAAAAGTAGAAAGATTTCGATAAGGAGAAGTGCAGTATACAAAAGCCATAACTCTCTTTTGCATAATTTAGGAGTTATTGAAACTTTGTTTATACATTGGTCATACTAAGAGAATGTGTAGTATACCAAATTCAGGGCCTGCAACTTCTTAATTACAGAATTATTGCCCTTTGATTAAATTTCTTGTTCAATAGTCATTTTCAGGGAGCCTTCATCAGTTTCACTGATACACTTTCTACTCTATATATTTTAAGTCAGTATAGATAACAACAATAACACAATTGTATGTGACATTTTTATGTTACTATTTTAAGGGATATGGACTTGTCAACACTACGACATGAGGCAGAATTCTATGGTATCACCCCCCTTGGTATGTATTGTATATATATCCCATCACCAAAAAAGACTTAAATTACATCAGTATTTGTTTATCTTAAAGGGACATCATGGTAAAAAACCATCTGATGATAGTGTGCTATTCAAAATCACCCTACGTCTGTGGTCCATCTGTAAAGAATTATTTGTTATAGCTATTTTTTTGAGAAGTACGGAATGGATCTTTCTTAAATTTCATATTTAGGTTCCACTTGGTCCCTAGTTGTGCCCATTCAATTTTAAGACTGATCTTTAAAAGAATATAGCTGACAGGCTGCAATCTTGGTTTTTGATTTTGCAAGTTTGCTAATGCAATTTCCTAAGGATAATGGGGTGGATCTCACTGAAACTCCCTATGTAGGTTTCTCATTGTCCATTTAATTTTGGAACACAAAACAAAATGGCCAGCAGACAGCCATCTTGGAATTTTACTTTAGAAGTTTGCTATCGCTATTTCTTGAGAAGAAGTTAATTGATCTTTCTTAAATTTCATATGTAGGATCCCCTTGGTCCCCAGTTATGCCTACATGTGTTCATCTTGGATTTTGACTTTGAAAGTTTGTTATCACCATTGCTTGAGCAATATAGCATACATCTTTCTCAAATTTTATGTATAGGTTCCTCTAGTTCCCTAGTTGTGCCAGTGTGAGTATAGGACTGATCAGAAAACAAATGGCCGACAGGCAGCCATCTTGGATTTTTCCCTAGTAAAAATTGTTATCCCCACTTAAAGAAGTATTGAATGCATCTCTCTCAAATCTTACAGAAGTTGCTTTATAGTACCCTCTCTGAAGTTGATTTTAAGCAACCTCCCTGGAGATAATTATAGCTCCATCCCTGAAGTTTCTTTTTAATACCCTATCTAGAGTGGTCTGTAAGCTATGTCACATGACATGTTTATAAGTTGAAGAGATATGTTATTGTTAACTTCATACACTTGAAGGTCGTATGTAAATAAAATTTGGGAAATTGTGTGTTGTGGACCAGTTAGTTTGCTTTGTTCATTTTACTTCGTTTTTTGGAAACAAATTTTTTTTAACAATTTATTGATAATAATATTTCAATAATATGGGATTGTTAGACACCTTAAAGATACTGTACTTTAGATCAACACAGGTGTTAGATAATTGGACTGACTTGATCAGAGGTCATATTAAAACAGTGATTTGAATAAAGTGTGATCAATCAGAGACAGTTAATCATTAATCAGGATTTTTAAAAGTATTACAGCTGATTCATTTATTTATAAATCAAGACATTATCATGCAACTACTTTGCTGAAAGGATGTATGTTTTCATTTAGAAATTTTGTGTCATTGTGAAAATGTGAAAACTGTTGTGCCTGTTTTTCTTGCAGTGCGTCGTCTTGGATTGTGTGAAGACCTAGACCAGGCATCATGTGGAGACGTTCTTTTCCATGGATATCTCAGACCTCCAAGTAAGTTTACAGATATTTCAGACCTCCACATAACTTCACAGATATTTCAGACCTCAACATAACTTCACAGATATTTCAGACCTCCACATAACTTCACAGATATTTCAGACCTCAACATAAGTTCTCAGATATTTCAGACCTCCACATAACTTCACAGATATTTCAGACCTCCACATGACTTCACAGATATTTCAGACCTCCACATGACTTCACAGATATTTCAGACCTCCACATAAGTTCTCAGATATTTCAGACCTCCACATGAGATCACAGATATTTCAGACCTCCACATAAGTTCTCAGATATTTCAGACCTCCACATAAGTTCTCAGATATTTCAGACCTCCACATAAGTTCTCAGATATTTCAGACCTCCACATAAGTTCTCAGATATTTCAGACCTCCACATAAGTTCTCAGATATTTCAGACTTCCACATGACTTCACAGATATTTCAGACCTCCACATGATATCACAGATATTTCAGACCTCCACATAAGTTCTCAGATATTTCAGACCTCAAGGTAAGTTAACAGGAAATAAGATCAATGATCATCTACACTACAAAGAGACCTGCAAACGAGTGATTGTGATTCTTCATGGGGTGATAAACCCAGGAAACAAACAAAGTTCGCTGATATCTCAGATTTAAAAAAAAAATTTTTTTAATTCGAAGGTTGCCTCCAATTGATAAGATGAGTTAAAATGTTTTAAAGAATGGTAGTTCTCATAACACAACTAGTAGAAGATTAGAGTGTGATGTTTCGATGACTACATAGTCATCTTCATCAGACAAATGACCAGTGTGGAGCGTACTACCACTGAGATACATAGTGTGTGATACAAGATGGCATTAACCAACTTTTTCAGCTGTACTCTAATCCTATGTACCTTAAAGTCAAAAATAGTGCAACAAGATGGTAACAGATTATAGACCTAAAAGAATATACACAAGATTGTAACAATGTATTGTAGTCAATTCAACGACACTTTGTTTAAAATTTTCAAAAATAAAAGGATTTATGTACATTATGCTTCGATTGATCTTTTTTCAATATTTTGAAAATTTTTTGTGTCCCAAAGTCTGGATACCACAATGAGTCAGTGAACATATGAAGAGGATTTCTTTTTTGTTTGTTGCCTGTTCCATCTTTGATTCATTGAACACATCTCTTTAATGTGTTTACAGATCCTCCTGTCCCAGAGAAACTTGACCGTCAACATTCCCAGTCTGTAGCCAGTATGGAGAGTGTGGGTAGTGTAGGACAGAGAATATCTGACCCAACAGGAGCCAACAGCACACATTCCAGGTATAATAGTATAACGGGTCAGGTTATTGTTGTGTAAGATCAATTTAGATTCAAAATACATTATACATTGCCAAACACATGAAAACCTCACCTACAGGACTAATGTAATGATGTGCTGTATATAATGTAAGTTCTGATCCTAAGTCTAATGAAAACAAAACATGATATTTGCTTGTATTTCATTTCAGGAAAGTCAAGATAAAAGGTTTAAACACTATTTTTCCTCTGTCTTGTGTCCCAGATTGGGTTTATACATATCATTATTCAATATTATACATATTTCTCTCATATCCCGCCATATTGGATAGAGTTTGCCCATGTAAGATAGCTATGTAAGAAAATTCTATCTTACATGGGCAAACATGTTCGTGGAGTAATCTGTGTTCAGGGGAGACAACTCTTAACAGCGTCGTCTGCTTGTTTACAAAAAATGACCGACAACCATATACCCGATACCTTGCAGGTTTATGTCACGGGTCATAAAAACACACAGTCGCTGAATAATTACAGGACACTGAATGACAGACAGAAGTACATGATTTCCAATATGTTGTCAAACACAAAAAGCTCCGCATTAATTCCATCAAACCGAACACCATCCTCTGCCACCATTTCATCAACTTCAACAGTTACTAGGCCTGCATCTGATGTCACAGTGTGTTTACCGTTGTCATCACAACAAGAAAACAGGGTTAACACCTACAATCCTGTATCACAGAAACAATCTGAAACTCACATCAAATCCTTGTTTTCTGGTTCTCACATTGAAAATTGCCAAATCACCATAAATATCACCACAAATGTTCTACCACCCAAACGTCGTTGAATCATGGTGATCGAGAGCGACAGCGACTCGGAATAAGAGATCGTGTGACGTCACGCCTTGAATTTATGAATGGAGTTCCTTTGACTATAGTGACGTCATGTCAGCATCACAGTATTTTGAAAAAATGTTAAAACAGCAAAAAGATACATTGATATATTTCTTAAAATGATCAAATTTGTGATTTTGATGATAAAACTATATGTTGAATTGTAAAAATCCGTTCCTTGTTGATTTCTTTGAAGTATTTGACGGAACAATTTCTTTTCGCGGATGTTTACTTACATATACTATATAATCACACAGAGATCATTTTTGTTTTTTTTCATCTGCGAATAATATATTCATCCTGCAATATGCCGAAAAATGGTTTGAAATTTGACAGCAAACTCAAAGTTTGCAAAATATGGGTATGATCGTTAAGAATATCCAGTTCGTTTTTTATAAAAACCTTGGATTAAAAAGAATTAAGAAAAATGAAGATATTGGCCGACCGACTGTCCTTTTCCCATAATTTTGGTAAAGATATGAAAGAAAAAGACTCTTTCATTATGTGTGTATGTAGGATAGGGATATTCCACCCTCGGCAGTGCCTCGGGTTTCACCATATTTTGTGACCCTCTGGTGGAATATCCCTATCCTACATACACGCATATGAAAGAGTCTTATATTCCCTTACAACTATTTAGTTTGTATTTTATATCAATATCCATGTAAATGTATTCAACAAGCCATGGCTGATTATAGCGTCCAATTAAACACATTCAAACCATGGGTGACTTACTACAAAGTCTGTACAGATACAGTAGCTCAGTAGAGCAGTGTATTACCAGTAATACAACTTCAGGTGAAGAACTGTCGTGTGTGGTTTCACCTAAACTTGAAGTGGGTTAGAGTTGGGATGGAATAGTTCTTATAATACTTAATTTCTACTTGACATACAGTGGAACCCACTTTGTTTGAACTCAGTTTTATTAAAAAAAACAGTTACCGGGTAATTTGAAATGAAATTAATCCCTATCAAAATGTCATTTTTGTCTTGGTATTTTCACCTCATTTAATTTGAAATCCCGCATTATTTGAAAGGTAAACACTGGCCCTAGACAGTACTTATGAACTGTTTTCACAGTGCTTTATTTGTGCTTAATTTGAAGGTCACTCCCGCGAGCAGTGTTGTCACGCTAGTACAATGCCCAGGTAGAAATATTATACAAAAGGAATGAATAAATGTTTTGATTAGTTTCATATGTAGAAGAGAGTGACAGATGTTTTACAATGGCTTTGTCCAGCAAGAAGCGTTCAACAACTGATGAAAGATATGGACTTATTCAATCTATTGATCGAAAAGAAGAATGTAAAAGTGAAAAAGCAAAAACTTCGGTATTAATCCCAGTACAATGACAGAAATTTTGAAGAAAAGATGTGATGTTACAAACAAGTCAAACAGGGAGTTTTTCACCAAAATGAAATATATATGCTTTGTGTCGTCGTTAACGTATGACAGGCCTGGGTGCTAGAAAGGCTGAAACCTGTAAATTTGAAGTATTTCTTCATTCCCTGAGGATTTCAATATAACTGGGTTCAACTGTATTACATTATATTGATTCTATTTCCTTTCTGGCAGTGTCCTTCATTATTGATGTCTTGAGAACCATGTATCTAAGGTTGATATATTATCTGTTGTACTAAAGGTAAATCAATATCAAATCACAATTGTTTACTTATCAACAAAATGCATCAATAGCAATATGAAGATTTAATAATCGTTTCAATTTGTAGTGTGAAATTTGTAAATTTTTTTAAACATTTTGAAAATAACTAAATTTCCATAATTTCTCAATACTTGCTTTGCTGTTTTTTTGTAGAGAACATTGAACCTTAGGCAATCTTTACATTTGCACTCACTCATCAAGTCATCAGTGTTTTAATACTTTTAAGTCTTGAATTTAAATGAGATAAATGTTGATATAGGAAGTAGTAGACATTGTAATGTGAATGTGATCCTTCTTTATACCATTATATGTCCTTCCATAAATTGATATAGAAACTGTTCATTGTTTGTATTTGTTATTTGTATCCTAAATTGTCTGTACACAGGTCATCCTCAGCAGACAGTCATCATCAACCATTACTAGCAGGCCAGTCCATTGAAGGGGTCCCCGCCCGACATTCCATGTGTGACTTCCGCACTATCAGATGGGACACACCCATGCTCCCTACAGGTGGGAAGTGTGAACTTACTGCTAAACTCAGTTATCATGTGATAAATGATTTTAAAACTTGATGTCATAAAAAGGCCATGATTTGGTATACCGTCATAATTTAATATGTGTTATCTTGTTGATGTTGATGTGTTTCTGGATTTGACAGCGAACTGGCATCAGATTGGGTACAGGAATTTTCTTCTTGATTGTAATGGGTATTCATCTTGTCTCCTGTTTCACTGTCATCAGTCCCCGTTAAAATCTTCCTATATCAGCTGTACCTTGGGACTTTGTTCATATATGTTGATAATACAAAATAGTTTTTTTTTCAGTGCGAGCTGTCCGAGATCCTCTACGTATCAGCATGGTGAAGGGCCACCACAACTGGATCTGTATAGCGTATCCACATTTCATCTCCTGTTTCAGGTAAGTGCAAGATATAGATAAAGTGGAATAGAATGTTTACTTCAATAAAGCAGAGATTTCTTGAACTGAGTATTATACTTTTAAAGATGCTGAGTGCTTAACTTGAAATTTTGTATCCAGAAGATTGATATATATCTGTCATCATCATAGAGAGGTGATTGGTTATTTTACTCTACGATTGCAGATTGTTGAATATTGAAATTTTTCATTGTCTTCTGTATATATTTGCTCTATACTGTAGATCAATAAGATTTCACAAATACTTTATTTCATGATCTTACCTGTTCAGACATATTTGTGCATACATGATTTCGCAAAAGCTGATCAAGAAATGACTTTAAATTCATGAATGATGAGCTATTAGGGACCAGGACTCTTCAAGACTCTGATATTGGCAACAGGATCAACATGAGTTGTTTCTGTACAAATAATCGCAAGGGATTCGAATCCATGATTGACACTTCTGACATATTTACACAGAAATAAATCCCAAGCAAAATGAAAGTGATTTACAGTAGTAAATGGCAAGTAAATATGTTCATCAAAATTGGTGATGTTAACAAGTTGTGAATACATTGAAATGGCCCTGTTGAAAGAGGTGTCTTTATATGATAAATTACACATGAGATCTCTTTTCCCTTTGATTCTAAACATTTTATTCGAAATAGAGAAAGTTATGGAAAATTTTCATATATGAGATATTTTTTAGAGATAAAAATTGTTAAGTTGTACCTACCTATGATAGCATACCTTACCGATGAACAGAAAATTCTTCCATCAGTTTTGAAAATTGACATGACTATGTATATATGTATATACCAGGTAAACTTCAAAAATGAAATAGTTACGGGTTGTGTATCAGAGGAATCAGTAGCCAACATTTTCTCTTTCTCAGGATGAAGGACTCGACAGGCTGGCACCTGATATGGACTAGTCCCTACATGATGTGTCCAGTAGAGAGAATCGCTATCAATGCCAAAGTCCTCAACCCTAATCAGGATAACACCAATAAAATGGTGGCCGCCTCCTATGGTACTGACATCCAACTTTGGTCTGTGTCTGATGATGGTTCAAGTCGTGAAATAGGTCAGTAGAATATAATGATGTATGTGCAAAATGATTCAAGGAATTCTCTATATTGTCAAAATTTATTCAGTGTATTTTTTAACATTATCATAGAAAATTTTTTCTTCCATTGCTGTACTTCTGTCTGAGTCTTTGTAGGTTAAGCAAGCTTAGTAAAAATCCAGTTTACAACTCATGTATGTATTGAGCATGAAATACATAACCTCAGTTTAATGTAAAAAATAAAGAACTAAGAAAATTCATTATGAGTGAATGTCTTTGAGATATGGTAATTTGGTGACTTTTTCACATTGAAGGATATTGCATTTTTTAAGTAAAAATTTCATTGGTCATGTGAGACTTCTTGTACTGAAAACTTCATTTAAATTAAACCATGACTATATAACAGATATGTATTGTGATGGACACAGACTCTATATATAGACATTAGATAGGACTATATAACAGATATGTATAGTGATGTACACAGACACTATATATAGACATTAGATAGGACTATATAACAGATATGTATAGTGATGTACACAGACTCTATATATAGACATTAGATATGTAGGACTATATAACAGATATGTATTGTGATGTACACAGACTCTATATAGATATTAGATAGGACTATATAACAGATATGTATTGTGATGTACACAGACTCTATATATAGACATTAGATATGTAGGACTATATAACAGATATGTATTGTGATGTACACAGACTCTATATAAAGACATTAGATAGGACTATATAACAGATATGTATAGTGATGTACACAGACTCTATATATAGACATTAGATAAGACTATATAACAGATATGTATAGTGATGTACACAGACTCTATATAAAGACATTAGATAAGTAGGACTATATAACAGATATATATTTTGATGTACACAGACTCTATATATAGACATTAGATATGTAGGACTGTATAACAGATATGTATAGTGATGTACACAGACTCTATATATAGACATTAGATAGGACTATATAACAGATATATATAGTGATGTACACAGACTCTATATATAGACATTAGATATGAAGGACTATATAACAGATATGTATTGTGATGTACACAGACTCTATTTATAGACATTAGATATGTAGTACTATATAACAGATATGTATAGTGATGTACACAGACTCTATATATAGACATTAGATAAGACTATATAACAGATATGTATTGTGATGTACACAGACTCTATATATAGACATTAGATATGTAGGACTATATAACAGATATGTATAGTGATGTACACAGACTCTATATATAGATATTAGATATGTAGGACTATATAACAGATATGTATTGAGATGTACACAGACTTTATATATAGACATTAGATATGTAGGACTATATAACAAATATGTATTGTGATGTACACAGACTCTATATAGATATTAGATATGTAGGACTATATAACAGATATGTATTGTGATGTACACAGACTCTATATATAGACATTAGATATGTAGGACTATATAAAATATATGTATAGTGATGTACACAGACTATATATATAGACATTAGATACGACTATATAACAGATATGTATTGTGATGGACACAGACTCTATATATAGACATTAGATAGAACTATTTAACAGATATGTATAGTGATGTACACAGACTCTATATATAGACATTAGATATGTAGGACTATATAACAGATATGTATAGTGATGTACACAGACTCTATATATAGACATTAGATAGGACTATATAACAGATATGTATAGTGATGTACACAGACTCTATATATAGACATTAGATATGTAGGACTATATAACAGATATATATAGTGATGTACACAGACTCTATATATAGACATTAGATATGTAGGACTATATAACAGATATGTATTGTGATGTACACAGACTCTATATATAGACATTAGATATGTAGGACTATATAACAGATATGTATTGTGATGTACACAGACTCTATATATAGACATTAGATATGTAGGACTATACAACAGATATGTATTGTGATGTACACAGACTCTATATATAGACATTAGATATGAAGGACTATATAACAGATATGTATTGTGATGGACACAGAGTCTATATATAGACATTAGATAGGACTATATAACAGATATGTATAGTGATGTACACAGACTATATATATAGACATTAGATACGACTATATAACAGATATGTATTGTGATGGACACAGACTCTATATATAGACATTAGATAGAACTATATAACAGATATGTATAGTGATGTACACAGACTCTATATATAGACATTAGATATGTAGGACTATATAACAGATATGTATAGTGATGTACACAGACTCTATATATAGACATTAGATAGGACTATATAACAGATATATATAGTGATGTACACAGACTCTATATATAGACATTAGATAAGACTATATAACAGATATGTATTGTGATGTACACAGACTCTATATATAGACATTAGATATGTGGGACTATATAACAAATATGTATAGTGATGTACACAGACTCTATATATAGACATTAGATATGTAGGACTATATAACAGATATATATTGTGATGTACACAGACTCTATATATAGACATTAGATAAGACTATATAACAGATATGTATTGTGATGTACACAGACTTTATATCTATGTTGTAGGAGTGTTCACTCTGAACGTGTCCGTAGGTTCTCTTTTCTTTATTGGAAGTCAGTTAGTGGCTCTTAGTCAGACAGGCAAGGTTGGAGTGTGGCATGCTATGACCCATAATTGGCAGGTATGTGTTATAACAGTAAGCAGAATATAGGCCAACAATGTCCTTTATATACAAAGATATAATATCTTAACAATATTTTATTTCAACATGGATGTTTGCTGAATTTGATAAACATTGTCATGATTTCTACTGATAAAACAATACAATCATATGTTGCCTTTAAAAATGTTTATAAATTTAGGAACTACTCTACAAATAAGATTGAAATGAATATCAAATTTATTGATACTGTGAAATAAGATATCATGATTTTCCAAAAATATCCATTTTTGTTGACACTTTATATCTATGTATAAATCAGATACCACAGAATCCACTAATTCTATGAAGAGTTTTAAACAGTACCTGCTTGTCTTTGGTGGACATATCAATATGTGGTTAAAGAGATCCCAAATATTCAGTGAAAATAGTTAGAGTACCCATGAATTCAGCGAAAATTGTTGAAAGTTCCCATGAATTCAGCGAAAATTGTTGAAAGTTCCCATGGATTCAGCAAAAATTGTTGAAAGTTCCCATGAATTCAGTGAAAATAGTTGAGAGTACTCATTATTTCAACGAAAATAAATCTATCACAAAAATTAATTATTTTGCAGAATACCAGTGGATATTGTTTTTCTTTATCTAATAATTCCATAAAAGAAAAGTTACATTAGTGATCCTGGATATTTAGATAAGAAATTTGATGTTATTAACTATTTTATAATTTGTTTTGGTATAACAGATACAGGATGTCATTCCGATCTCAAGTTACGATACAGCTGGCTCATTCCTCCTACTTGGTTGTGAAAATGGATCTATTTACTATATAGGTAAACAATTGTGTAGTTTAGATCTAACTCTGTATAGTAATTTACAGACTTTAAATGTTTTATGTACAAAGTTTCACAGTTAATCATACAAATTTTTTAAGATTCAATAGAACAGAGTGTTGATTAATATTAGATGTTGCAAAAAAAGATTTTTTCATGCATCATTTCACTATTGTCTGTCTTCAACACAGGTCACATAACCAGAATTTATAGTTAACAATAGTATATTGGTATATTCACTGAAGGATGTGGCAGTGAAGTAATGCCAAGATGTCTCACTACCTAATGTTTACAGACATGCAGAAGTTCCCGCTGCGTATGAAGGACAATGATCTGCTGGTAACAGAGTTGTACCGTGACCCAGCTAATGACATGGTGACAGCACTGAGTGTATATCTCACACCCAAGACAAGTAAGTCTTAAATCTGATGTTTCTGTCTTTATTTTTGCACTTTTTAATGAACCTATGACCTTTGAACATTGACTTAACAAGGATGTATTGTTTCTTTGTGATATACCGTATTTATTCCAATAAACGCCCTGGGGGCGTGAAATTTTTTCAGACAGGGGGCGATTAATAGAACACAAAATTTCGTAATTTGTTGGTCGTGACATGCCATGGCTGCCACTTAAAACTATTGTTTAACAAACTAACGAATTACTCGGCAAAGAATGCATTTGAAAATTGCAGTAATTCCAACATCGTTGTAGCTTTAAACATGGTTGTCAATTGCATTCTGATAACCTGAATTCTTTTATGAAATACATCGTGTCAGCTTCAGTCAAAAACGTACAATGTTCATCATTGCTTGTAGGCCTAGTTTGCATAACAAAATAAAAAATCACAGCGGTATATAAGCCAGTCTGTTTCTTAATAAATCCCACATACCTGATAACAATGTCTGGGACAAAATTACGAAATTACGACACTGCTTTCAAGCTTAAAGTAATCGCCTTCGCAGAGGAGAAGGGTAAACATGCCGCCGCGAAAGTGTTTTGTGTTGACAGAAAACGAGTGCGGGACTGGTGTCAAAACAAAGAAAAATTTGAAAATCTTTCTAAAACATCTAAACGCTGTAAAGAAGATGGGAGGCATGTCAGATATGAAGATATTGACAAAAATCTGATGAGATGGCTACAGGACAGACGGGAGGCCGGAATACGAGTGACTGGGAAAGCATTGCGGTTTGAGGCCCTGCGTATGCATAAGGCAAATGGTAGTCAATCGTCCAAAGCCTCATATGGATGGTTTTCTAAATTCAAAAAGGGACCTAACATTTCGTTCAGGCGATCTACGCATGTGGCACAACATGAAGTTTCATTAATTGATGATCGTATTGACAGTTTTTTTAATTTCGTGTTAAGAATGTGTCGGCTACGAGAATACCCCGATAGCCATATCGCTAACATGGACGAAACCCCGGTATGGTTTGACATGCCAGGAGTATTTTCACTCTGTATTATTGTAAACACAAGGGTTTTTCAACCTATTTGTCAATTATCTATATCTAGTGGGAGTATTTTCACTCTGTATTATTGTAAACACAAGGGTTTTCAACCTATTTGTCAATTCTCTGTATCTGATGGGAGTATTTTCACTCTGTATTATTGTAAACACAAGGGTTTTTCAGCCTATTTGTCAATTCTCTATATCTGGTGGGAGTATTTTCACTCTGTATTATTGTAAACATAAGGGTTTTTCAACCTATTTGTCAATTCTCTATATCTGGTGGGAGTATTTTCACTCTGTATTATTGTAAACACAAGGGTTTTCAACCTATTTGTCAATTCTCTGTATCTGGTGGGAGTATTTTCACTCTGTATTATTGTAAACATAAGGGTTTTTCAACCTATTTGTCAATTCTCTATATCTGGTGGGAGTATTTTCACTCTGTATTATTGTAAACACAAGGGTTTTCAACCTATTTGTCAATTCTCTGTATCTGGTGGGAGTATTTTCACTCTGTATTATTGTAAATATAAGGGTTTTTCAACCTATTTGTCAATTCTCTATATCTGGTGGGAGTATTTTCACTCTGTATTATTGTAAAGGGTTTTTCAGCCTTTTTGTCAATTCTCTATATCTGGTGGGAGTATTTTCACTCTGTATTATTGTAAACATAAGGGTTTTTCAACCTATTTGTCAATTTTCTATAACTGGTGGGAATATTTTCACTCTGTATTATTGTAAACACAAGGGTTTTTCAGCCTATTTGTCAATTATTATAACTGGTAGGAATATTTTGGCTCTCTATGGTTATTCTTGGATTCTACATAAGTTTTTTACCTTACATTTACTGAATGCATGAGATAAATTATCTTTAAGCAGTGTTGTTATTAAAGACAGTTTGGACATGTAAAATTTGGACTGTTGACATCTAATTTTTACAGTGTTTAAAAGTCAGGAATGGCTTTTATTTTGCAGCTCTGTCTTTGGACTGCAGTTTGTGAATACCTTATGTTATATATTTTGCAGTTTTGTCTTTGGACTGCAGTTTGTGAATACCTTGTGTTATATATTTTGCAGATCTGTCTTTGGACTGCAGTATGTGAATACCCTGTGTTAGCATGTGTTTCTGTTCTCTTTGTTTCACACTTGCACTCAGTTATGTTCAAGAAAAATGATTTTGTTATTTTGAAATTGTTTGTTTTTTTTCCAATTCAAACTTTATTTTTTCTGTTTCTTGTTATATTTTGGATTCTTTTCCTTCCTGCACTACTGTCTTATTTACTCACAAAGATTGCAATCTTTTTTTTACTCAGAAATTTGTTTCTACTGTTTCAAATGATCAGCTACTTTCACTTGACAGACGAATAGAATTGATATACTGTGGATTCATTTATTTTCGTTGGGTTCAATTTTCGTTGTTTCTACAAATTAGACAGTTTCGTGGACTCATAAATTCGTGGATTTTTGGTTCTGTGGGAAAAAAATAAAAACGTTAGAATTTTCTCTTTTTGCTTCCAGTCGAATTTTTTTCTGTTTGTATTAAGGCTATGTTCACAGGAATTAACACTAATGACAAGAATAAAAGAACGTTTTTTTTTCAAGATGGCGTCCTGTGTTTTTATAACGCTGTTTACAACAGTCTCGCATTAATATCAAACCACAAATCAGTATATATCCTGGCGTGTAATCAATCGGTAATTATCAGAAACAATTGTTTTCAGTGGATAAACATTGTGTGCTGATCAGTCGGTGTACCGCAGTCATATGAAAACACCACGCGTATCGATGGGACCATGTGTGTAAACAGGTGTGTAAACAAGATCTGCATTATTAATAATTATTGTGAACCTGTAGTCGGATAGAAATACGGATCCAATCTTCAATCGACAGGATGGTCCGATCAAGCCTAGTGTCCACAGTGTCGCTAACGACTGCGATCCCATCATACTTAGCATCACAATGGGTACTTACCCTTTGTTATGTTTAATAATATATAATTATATATCGTTGACACCAATTTAGCGTATCCATGTCGAGCCTCAGACTACCCGACTCCCGACTAATTACGGGGCTTCTGTCATTACCGGTGGACGTTTCCGGTGTCGGCAAAGATTACTTGGTCAAATTTCAAAATTACTTTAGTAAGTAGTTCATATTTCGTTGTGTTTTTAAATTCGTGGATTTGCTCATCCACGAAAACAACGAAAATTGGACCCCCACGAAATAAAATGAATCCACAGTACCTTTATGTGACATGTTTTCACTGATTTATAGCAAGTACTTTTAAATTTCTGATATTTTCAATGAAATTATCTCAGAATAAATACAGATAATTGATGGATCAAAACGGGCTAGAATGACAAGGTTATATAAAATTCTAAAACTGCTTATCTCTTGACTTTCTATACACATAATTGTAATTTAAATGTTTAGATAATGCACCCTTATTCTGGAAACATTGAATTATGCATATAAAAACTTAGGTAGAGATTCAGGAAGAATAAAAAAAAAAGATATCCCTCAAAATTCCCCACTGTTATTTTGGAACTTATTCCTTGTATTACAGTCACTTTGTACAAATTACAACTTAATCATTTTAAATTTCATTTATCTTACAACAATTGTGAAACAAGTTTTAAGGTTATGTTAATCGGTCTTGTTGGCCTGGATGGATGTGCATGATGAGTCTTATTGTGAGAGAAAATTGAGGCACCCAGGGAAAACCGAGGTGGTCGTGTAAGTTACCCATACTTTCTCACGGCCAGGCTGGGATTCGAAACCTGGACGCCTTAGTGAAAGATGAATTACATTTCATCCAATTTTCTGACCTTTTAATGATAGAAATTTTTACAAATTTTCTCATTCTTCTGCAAATTATTCGTAACACTTTAGCTGCTCAAGTATTGTCAATGTTTCAACATTTCTCAAGTTTGAGGAGTCCTAAGGTTACCCTTTCATTCTTCACACAGTAAGTGGGAAGAGAAGGAATGTAACAACATGTACTGGTATATAATGACATACTAAAATACTTCTCAATACATGCATGCTTGTTTTGGTGACCGGGTTTTAATTAATCAGATAAATGGAGAGAGGTTAAGCAAGGGAAGTACATTATCAGAGGCACTGGCGAGGAAACTTCAAAACAATGATAATTAGTACAATCAGGATGTCTTAGTAAGTATATAGTTTTTCTCTCATCCCTCTGTAGCAACATTGACCACACTTGTTGGTTACTGGGTATTTACAGCATGTTATTAGGAGATATATATACTTGTCCAGTCAGAGGTCAACCATGCATATGTACCTTTAGGAACTGAGGTCAACTTTGGGTATGTACCTTCAGGAACTGAGGTCAACTTTGGGTATGTACCTTCAGGAACTGAGGTCAACTTTTGGTATGTACCTGCAGTAACTGAGGTCAACTTTGGTTATGTACCTGCAGGAACTGAGGTCAGCCATGGGTATGTTTCTGCAGCTCCTGTAATAAGACAAGTGGGCAACCTTTCTGAATCAAAGTCAGGGGATTGACTTATTGCAAGACTTCATGGGCCAACATATCACCTCTGACTTAACATCATGGAGTGAGCTTATTGCAGAACATGTCGGTGATTCTATTAAAAACCAACAGATATAAATAGGCAAATTAGGAAACAAGGCCATGTTGCCAAATAAATATAGATGATAAAGCTCAATACAGAATATGCAATTTGTAATTATCCTAACTACATCAACAATGTCAAGATATTCAGATCTCATACACTTCCCTAATGAACAGTGAACAGTAGTTACTATACACAGTTAATTCCTGTTGATATCTGAGGATTTTCAAGAATTTAATAAAATACTGCAGAAGAAGAAGAAAAAATAATAAGATGTGACAACAGAATTACCAGGTAATATATAAAGATATGACTAATCTCACGATATCTCTGAAAAACTCTTCATTTCTGCCTTGAATTTTTGGATAAACCACAAAAGTCCTATCCATCAACAAAAAGATAAACATAAACACTGGGTATTCCCAGTTAGACTTTAAGCTCCATATTATGTCCCATCTAATAGAACATGGTGTACAGTAGCCTTTAGTATCCTTCTATTTGTTTGAGGGGGAAAAAGTTTGGCATTAAAGATCTGAATTGATTTGATTGGAATTATTTACACAGGTTTGAGTGGAAACTGGATAGAGATTGCCTATGGTACAAGTTCTGGGACTGTTCGTGTGATTGTACAACACCCTGAAACTGTTGGCCATGGACCTCAGCTATTCCAAACCTTCACTGTTCACCGCAGTAGGGTCACCAAGGTTATGCTGTCAGAGAAAAATCTTGTATCTGGTGTGTTGACTTTCAATGAATCAGAAATATTGAAGATTCATTTTTTGTGTGTATTGGTGCAGATATTGATAATTCTAGAATCTTTCAAGAATTAAACACAGATAGAAAATATATATTGAGGTCTTTTCATAACAAAAAATATCACAATGCCTTGCATTCTGAATTGTTATATGTAAATTGTAATTTGTTGTATATTTCACATCCTTTTTGTAATCAGACACATGTTACATTATGTCCCAATCAAATCTAAATGAACCGTTCTCCTGTGGGTTCAGAGTACACACATTTTTCTGTTCATTCATGCTGTTTTACAGATATTTCCTGTTTTGTTGTTGTAGTTTGTTCAGAATACAATCATGTAAGGACCTGGAGTGTTACAAGGTTTCGTGGAATGATTTCAACACAACCAGGATCCACACCCCTCGCTTCTTTCAAAATTATCTCGCTTGATGATATGGATTCTCAGATCAGTACACACACCGGCACAGACTTTGGTACAAAAGTTTATTTACATCTAGGTCTTATTAGAATGAGAGAGTTAATAGTGGGGAATTTGACACTGGTTATAATCCTTTTCCAGAGAGAGTTAATAGTGGGGAATTTGACACATGGTATATACCTTGTCTAGAGAGAGTTAATAGTGGGGAATTTGACACTGGTTATAATCCTTTTCCAGAGAGAGTTAATAGTGGGGAATTTGACACATGGTATATACCTTGTCTAGAGAGAGTTAATAGTGGGGAATTTGTCACCAGTTATATTTCTTGTCCAGAGAGATTTAATTGTGGGGAATTTGTCACCGGTTTAATTCCTTGTCCAGAGAGAGTTAATAGTTGGGAATTTGACACAGGGTATATTCCTTGTCCAGAGAGAGTTAATAGTGGGGAATTTGACACAGGGTATATTCCTTGTCTAGAGAGAGTTAATAGTGGGGAATTTGACACAGGGTATATACCTTGTCCAGAGAGAGTTAATAGTGGGGAATTTGACACAGGGTATATGCCTTGTCTAGAGAGAGTTAATAGTGGGGAATTTGACACAGGGTATATTCCTTGTCTAGAGAGAGTTAATAGTGGTGAAATTTGACACAGGGTATATTCCTTGTCTAGAGAGAATTAATAGTGGGGAATTTGTCACCGATTATATTCCTTGTCCAGAGAGAGTTAATAGTGGGGAATTTGACACAGGGTATATACTTTGTCCAGAGAGAGTTAATAGTGGGGAATTTGACACAGGGTATATTCCTTGTCCAGAGAGAGCTAATAGTGGGGAATTTGTCACCGGTTATATTCCTTGTCCAGAGAGAGTTAATAGTGGGGAATTTGACACAGGGTATATAGTGGGGAATTTGACACAGGGTATATTCCTTAGAGAGAATTAATAGTGGGGAATTTGACACAGGGTATATTCCTTGTCTAGAGAGAGTTAATAGTGGGGAATTTGTCACCGGTTATATTCCTTGTCCAGAGAGAGTTAATAGTGGGGAATTTGACACCAGGTATATACCTTGTTCAGAGAGAGTTAATAGTGGGGAATTTGTCACCGATTATATTCCTTGTCCAGAGAGAGTTAATAGTGGGGAATTTGACACAGGGTATATTTCTTATCCAGAGAGAATTAATAGTGGGGAATTTGACACAGGGTATATTCCTTGTCTAGAGAGAGTTAATAGTGGGGAATTTGTCACCGGTTATATTCCTTGTCCAGAGAGAGTTAATAGTGGGGAATTTGACACAGGGTATATTCTTTGTCCAGAGAGAGTTAATAGTGGGGAATTTGACACAGTGTATATTCCTTCTCCAAAGAGAGTTAATAGTGGGGAATTTGACACCAGGTATATACCTTGTTCAGAGAGAGTTAATAGTGGGGAATTTGTCACCGGTTATATTCCTTGTCCAGAGAGAGTTAATAGTGGGGAATTTGACACAGGGTATATTCCTTATCCAGTGGGGAATTTGACACAGGGTATATTCCTTGTCTAGAGAGAGTTAATAGTGGGGAATTTGTCACCGGTTATATTCCTTGTCCAGAGAGAGTTAATAGTGGGGAATTTTACACAGGGTATATTCCTTGTCTAGAGAGAGTTAATAGTGGGGAATTTGTCACTGGTTATATTCCTTGTCCAGAGAGATAATAGTGGGGAATTTGACACAGGGTATATTCCTTGTCTAGAGAGAATTAATAGTGGGGAATTTGTCACCGTTAATATTCCTTGTCCAGAGAGAGTTAATAGTGGGGAATTTGACACTGGGTATATACCTTATCCAGAGAGAGTTAATAGTGGGGTATTTGACACAGGGTATATTCCTTGTCTAGAGAGAATTAATAGTGGGGAATTTGTCACCGTTAATATTCCTTGTCCAGAGAGAGTTAATAGTGGGGAATTTGACACTGGGTATATACCTTGTCCAGAGAGAGTTAATAGTGGGGTATTTGACACAGGGTATATTCCTTGTCCAGAGAGAGCTAATAGTGGGGAATTTGTCACCGGTTATATTCCTTGTCCAGAGAGAGTTAATAGTGAGGAATTTGTCACCGGTTATATTCCTTGTCCAGAGAGAGTTAATAGTGGGGAATTTGACACAGGGTATATTCCTTGTCTAGAGAGAATTAATAGTGGGGAATTTGTCACCGTTAATATTCCTTGTCCAGAGAGAGTTAATAGTGGGGAATTTGACACTGGGTATATACCTTGTCCAGAGAGAGTTAATAGTGGGGTATTTGACACAGGGTATATTCCTTGTCCAGAGAGAGCTAATAGTGGGGAATTTGTCACCGGTTATATTCCTTGTCCAGAGAGAGTTAATAGTGAGGAATTTGTCACCGGTTATATTCCTTGTCCAGAGAGAGTTAATAGTGGGGAATTTGACACAGGGTATATTCCTTGTCTAGAGAGAGTTAATAGTGGGGAATTTGTCACACACATGTCCACAGATTTATCATTACAATGTGAAATAAATCTTTTCATATTTATATATGATTCTAATGTCTTTTTATCGATTTGGAATTACATGTATTATAAAGATGTTAATTATATACTTTTTCAGTGTCAGACCAGTTATTTAAGAACTTATGCTTTATAATATCAAAATTACAGTTTTCAGGTGCTGTTTGAGCTTTTGAGATAACAATTAACATCTTGTTCAGTATACCCTGGTATGTTACTTTGCTGTGATATTTTCAGATGAAATGTTGTCTTTTATTTTGCAGGACCTTTTGGTGAACAGGATGATCAGCAGGTATTTATCCAGAAGGTTGTACCAGACACTGATCTGCTGTTTGTACGTTTGTCCTCATGTGGCAAAAGGTAATGTCTAATATAACAACTGATACTAATTCAGTTTCCATGACAACTTTACAATTACTACTTGCTAGCATCTCCACATACGATTGGAAATCATACACATTTTTATGCCCCTGCCATATCATGGTTGGTGGCATATAGTGTTACCCTTGCCTGCAAAGGCCCTTGTTTCTTTTTTGTGAAAGTGATATAAAACAAAGGAACTATTCAAATGTTTGATTGTATTAGAATCCAACAAAACATTTGCTTCTCTCTAGATGTGTGTATTTCCATCTTACAATCCTCTACAATCTATATAGAATTTGAAAACAAATTAATTGATCAATAAAAACTGGAGTGATATCTGATATCTTTATTATCTCCCCTTAGACTTCGACAAGGAATATCATATTTTCTGGATTTTAATCCACAACATTTTACCTCGTTGGTCGGCCATATGTCTTATATATCAGTGCAGCTTATGTGGATGAAAAAAAATTGTAAAAGTGTAATTGTATACAAGATGATTTGAAAACTGCGATAAGAATGACATTCTTATGGATTTTATCTTTGATACTTACCACCTAGCTAGTGAATGATTATTTCAGTCCTCATGGGAAGGTTATATACATAGTGTATGTACTTACTGTTTCAGGGTCTGTGTGATTAAGTCAGTAGACGGCAGCACCATCAGTGCTTTCTGTGTACACGAGTGTGAGGGTTCAAACAGAATGGGGTCACGACCTCGTCGTTACCTGTTCACCGGACATTCAAATGGCAGTATACAGGTATAAAGACTTCGAATGATTTCAATCTGGAATTTGCTTTTTATCCCCTCCTCTCCCCGAACAAAATTACATTTAATGAGGCTGCTGTGACCTGATTGGCTGATATCTTTTCCAATTTTCAATGTTTCAATTTTAATGTATATATTCTACAAAGGAATTTGGATGAGGGATCTTGATGACTATGACCTTGTTGGGCCTAGCTCACCTGGTATTATTGTTAATGAGATATGATGATTTATATCATTTTCCTGATTTTGTTTACAGATGTGGGATCTAACAACTGCAATGGACTTGTTGAACAAAGCAGAACAAAAACAAGGTAAGTTCATCAACATTATTCCAAGGACAATGCTTGATCTCTGGGCAGTTTAATCATGACTGATCAACTATACATTTATTGTTACAGAAGTAACCCTGGGCGGCCCCACCCCTGGTGAACTGATCCGTCTACTTGACCAGTGTGACTTATCATCACGAGCCTCCACTCCTTGTGTAAGTCCCTGCCCATCTGTCCTCCTTGTGCCTCCCTGCAGTCAGGGGTATCGTGGTGGCCACCATTCCACATCAACAGCTAATATGGCGAGGGAGATGTCCCAGGATGGGGCTGAGCTAGGCGCAGTAGGAGGAGTGGAAGATGGGGCCAGTGCTTTACATATGGACACCCAAGTCACTCGTATCTGACAGGTAACATAAATCAGAAACCTCCAAATATATTATCTCTTCCAAAACATCACTAATCTGTTAACATAACTGATGGTTTTGCATATTTTATTGTAATGTATATTGTATTTGATGTACATTGCCTGATGATAGTGAAAATGTTTAAAAGGTAAAATAATGTCAAACCTATTCCTAGAAAAAAAATCAGCATATCTAATAGATTTATAATTTCTTCTGTTTTTTATTTTACAGATTTTGTCAATTTTATCCAATTGCCGACAATGTGGATATAGCTTGGACAAGCAGTGCTGAGCAGACTAACTCACTCTTGACATGCTTAATGTTTTGGTTGTTATCATTTTAAAATTAATTTCTTTTTTAGAAAGTTAAGTATTTGAGGCATTAATATCTGGTGGTACTTAATAAAGTGAGTAGACTTGGATGAATGGTCACCATGGTTGTACCTTATACAGGAAGTAGACTTGGCTGTATGGTAACCAGGGTTGTACCTCAAACAGAAAGTAGAGTTGGCTGTATGGTCACCAGGGTTGTACCTCTTGCAGAAAGTAAGCTTGGCTGTATGGTAACTGGGGTTGTACCTCAAACAGCCTCATATGGGAAGTAAGCTTCACTGTATGGTCACAAGGGTTGTACCTCAAACAGGAAGTAGAGTTGGCTGTATGGTCACCAGGATTATACCTCATACAGGAAGTAAGCTTGACTGTATGATTACAAGAGTTGTACCTGAAACAAGAAGTAAGCTTGACTGTAAGGTCACAAGGGTTGTACCTCAGACAGGAAGTAGATTTGGCTGTATGGCCACCAGGGTTGTACCTCTTGCAGAAAGTAAGCTTTGCTGTATGATAACCAGGGTTGTACCTCAAACAGGAAGTAGACTTTGCTGTATGGTCACCTGGATTTTACCTCATACAGGAAGTAAGCTTGACAGTATGGTTACAAGAGTTGTACCTGAAACAGGAAGTACATTTGGTGGTATGGCCACCAGGGTTGTACCTCATACAGGAAGTAGATTTGGTGGTATGGCCATCAGGGTTGTACCTCATACAGGAAGTAGATTTGACTTTTTAACTACTAGTGGACAAGGGTTGTATGATCTAAAATCTACCTTGTTGTACAAGGTTGTTAGTACATTTGAATGTGAAATATTGAGGTAGTTATTTCAAGTTGTGAGATATCTAAAAACAGAGCATGAGGAGTAATGAAACCCTTTCCTGCTGGGTTTTTTCAACTAGCTGCCCTTCAGTCCCCAGCTAGACACTGTACCACCTGTATAAGGGAAATTGCCCCTAGACAAGGCTACTAAAAACACTGGAACTTTCATATCCTCCAAGAGGAACAAAGATGTTTTGTATTATTTTCATGGCATTGATGTCACCAATGTTTTAACTTGATGATTTATCCTTAACTGTGAGATTACTGATGTGGTTTTGTTTGTAAATAGCTTCTCTCGACACTTTGACAAGACTTCTTCCTTGTTGGCTAGTATCACTGTCCTGTGCAAATTTTTAATGTGTGAAATTGGCTTTACGTTATTATTTTCAAAATGAAATTTTAAAAGTTTTCTCTGCCAAATCTAGTCTGTATAAAGATAGTACAGCATATCAGCTGATAAACAGCAGTATATAGTGCTGTCACTAGTTTCCTTTAGGAAGACGTTACATGTGATAGTGATTCTCTGATGTTGTTCTCATGTATAACCACATTTTGAAATTAATATTTTCTTTCAAAGACCGTTGTTATTTGATCTCATTTTGAGTATTTAAGATAGCATAATATGATCTATGGTTGTTGAACTTGACCAATGCAAGTGTATTAGTTAACTGGCATGAGATCTGATGATGTATGTTTTTAATAATTCTGTAGTGCCATAGACATGAATACAGTATGTTACATATGTCTTGTTTTAAAGCTCAGTTGTGAAGATCAGTCAACTGGACTCTGTAACAGGGTAATGGTTCTGTGAATAGTATTTACCACAGGACAAGTAGGAGAGAAGGTTTTATCTGATGCTTTTTGCAGTAACAGTGGAAGGTGACAACATGATTATTTCTGTTACAAAGTTTTCAATTATATTGGCATAGAATTAACCATTATCATTTTTTGTACAATGATGTCTATAATTTAAACACCACAAATAAACTCCTGGTGATTGTGATTTTTTATGCTATCAAATGCATGGCACTAGCAGAATTTTAGAGAAGTATTGAGAAATTATTGTTTAGTTTATTGTAAATTGCCCTAAGTTTGTTGTAGCTATAATTACCATTTTTGTATGGATATCCCCAGAACAACGATTTATTGGACCTGTGTGTATGATGTTTATGTTGTTTAGTGTCACTACCGTGACCCATTGTAGATTTATTCACATATCACTGACCTCAAATTTCTCCTGGTTTTATCTGGGGAGCATCATGGAAAATGGAATTATTAAATAGAACTCGGACTGTGTCTATAAAAAATCATGTATATTTATCTTTCCTGAAAAATACTGAAGAATCAATAAGCCTAGGGATCGTAAAAAATCAATAAGCCTAGGTATTCTGAAAATTACTTCAGGGGATGGGCTTATTACAGGACAATGAAATTTGATGCAACAAATAAAGTATCAATAGATCAGTATAAATTAAGCATGAGTACATACATAAACTATGTGAAGTACCAGAATGTGCTTGCAATAATAACATCACAGTATTTACTTTGTATGGAATTGGATTCCACCTTTTGTGTACTTCAGGTGTAGAAAAATTGAGTCAGTTGCCCTGAAGCCCAGTAACAGACGACATTAATTGAATAAATTTAGAAAGTTACTATGAGGCTGTTGTGATTCTCTCGCCTAAATATGTACTCATGTTACAAAGGTCAGAAATCTGGAGAAATTTGACAATCAGTGATTTAATTGTAGTGAAGTCAGTGAGGTGGAAATTAACTGTTTTATGTTTAGAGGTCAACTAGTCATATCAATTGCTTGTGTTCCACATTTTAAGTGTAGTTGTATATGGTTGCATACTGTGATACTAGTAGAATCCATTGTAATGTACTTTTAACACTGTAGTATATTTATAAAAACCTGTATTTTATTTATGAATTAAAAAGTAACATGAAACCTAAATATCAGTGTTTTCTTTGGATTTTTTTCCTACATTTTATTGATACCCACAAAGTCTTTGTAATGTGTACATTTACTGAGCAAAAAGGTTTGTCACCAAGCTGAAAGTGAAACTAGAACATGGTGATGTCATGTGACAGAATCAAATTAAATAGTTGATTTACAGTGATCACTTATACAAAGATGGCTTCCTTTCTCTTACAAGCCAAGTTTACTATGGGGATGAACTTGTAACCTCAACAGTCTGTTGGTAATTAACCCTAGGAATCTTACAGATTACAAATTCTTATAAAATCACAAAAAAAATAAAACAGTTCAGTTTTTTCACAAATTTATTTACAAATTAATGGATTATCAAAATCTGTCTCCTTCAACCCGAACGACATTACAAAACTATCAACGAACAGATTCTAAACAGAAATTAGAGTAACTAGATATCATCCAATGAACTTTTCAGTTCAATCGTATACAGAGAGACATTGGTATAACTGACGTATTTACCTCAAGGGCAACAATTCAACTGTAAATTTAGAGTCTTGCATCAGTAATGCATTGTCTTCATTCGTACCACTATACCTAAATCACTTTGTACCACTCTGCAATTTTTTTAACCTTCAGGTATCAGACTATACAAGGTTCTGGCCACAAATTAAAGCCCAGGTGCATTTCTTTAACATTACTATAACTGACTTCTCTTTTTTTTTCTCTGAAGTCTCTAACAGGTTTTTCATAAAGGTTGATAACTGCAAATGCCACAATGAAAGCTATATTTCAAAGACAGCATACAAATTATCAAGTGTATTTCAAAGTAGCACCACACAAAATTACAGTGTTGTCAATTTTTGAAGAATAGAACACCATAATTCAACAACACTGTCTCTAAAAGGATGTGTGTTAGGTATCTGCAAAGATATGTTAATCTGTATGATGACCATCAAAAAGTGAATTTGTTCAACTCTGAATTAACATAAGCAGTCTTTTCTTGGTGGATAAAAACATTTTGAAGAATTAAAGATTTGGTTGACATGCTATCCTGTAACATTTGCACCAGAATCTGCTGTATAGACTAATTATATGTCCTGGGTTTCATCATTTCTCGCTGTAAAATCTGCAGATAACAGACCTACAGATTCATTACCAGCTAAATTCTTATCACTTGTAAAAAGAGCTGCTGATAAATGTTGAAAAGGTCCATTATTCCTCTATATATTCCCAAATCTGTAGGAACATGTTCCCACTGCTTAACATGCCCAGGATAGGTATTTCCCTATCTGGTAAACATTGCTGATTCTGTTGTAGATTATTTTCTTATCTGTCACCAAATCCATTGAACATATTTCCACCACCAAACTTTCCTTGAGCTCCTTGCTGGAACTGTCTCATCATGTTCTGAATGCCCTGCATGCCACCTGGAAGTGGAGAAACATGTTGATGTACATTATATTCTTATTCAGATATACTGCCTGTCCTGAAAACAAATGAACATTATACTCAAAATTCACCAAGCAATAGACCTACCAGGCCAACACATTACTTCAAACTCAAATGCTGCTGCAGGGCCGGTTGGGGGGAAGGGGGGCGGGGGGTTTAACAGCAATAGTTTACCACCAGGCTTGGGAGAACTGCCACATATAGGTACAAAGTACAAAGTCTTCTATGATTTTGTGTTAGGACATAGTAGTACAGTACAGTAAGAGTATCAAAATTTTGATGTGACTCAAAGTTTATCAATAAAAGGTATCTAAGTATATACCAAATATAGGAACTCATTAAACACACCTGAAAGTTCTCTCCTATCCTGTCACATAAAACCCATCAGATTTCAGCTAATTAAGTTTTTTATCTCTCAGTTTCTTCTCTTGGACAACAGCGGAGGTATACTTACCCATCTGCTGAAGGACTCGAGGATCCATCATCTTGGCCATTTGTTGATTAATCTTGGTCATCTGAGCGGGGTTCACATTCTTACTCATGTCACCTCCTGTAGAATGTTATCATTTGAAACAAATTCAGATTCTTCCCATAGTTTATGCTTCAGTATCACTATTTCAAAGTATCTTTTCACAGCTTTTACATTCCTTGTTTTTACAGTATGGCAAACACTTTGTGTTAAAACAGAAAAAGCCTTCAAAATACAAAATTCTGAAATGTAAATAGTTGTATATTCAACATATAAGATGACTCTCTGCTGGGAAGATTAAAGCAAAAGTTACATTTTAAGCATTAATTCAAAACAGATCAATTCTTATAAATGGACCAAAAATATTTCCATATAAGAGATACTAATTTTATCTACAAGGAAACTTTCCTATTAAAAAAGAAGAATTTGCTGACAACAGTTACCTTTGAACAGGCCTTTAATTCCTCCCATTTTTTTCACCATTTGTGCAAATTTCTTGTACTGAGTGAGAAGTTCATTGACCTCCCTAACAGAAACTCCTGCTCCCCGAGCCACACGCTGAGCTCGACCTGTCTGCTTAGCAAACAAACGCTCCCCCTCCAGACTGTCAAGCTCTGTAAGATATCAGTACTTTTAAGGCTGATATGTATTTTTCAAAATGAAGTTAAAAATTCATCAACTGAAGTCAGTAAATTGAGACATACTGGTGAACAAGGTTTGTGATTTGTTCAAGATTGAACTAGAATATTCTACTGAAGATATGACAAAATAAACACTACATGTATATTGTATTCTAAAGGAGACTAACACATTACTTCTGACCAGCAAATTTAAAGAGCAGCATTAGGCCTGAATGGACCACACTTCTTGCCGCAAAAATGACAATCAATATTCTTTCACACACCAATTATCAGAAATTTTGAAATGACAAAATCAATCTCAAAGCCATTCAAAATTCACAGATGATTTTACCTTTTAATAAACAACAAATAATGCATATCAGTCATTTTCGTATCTGATGTCCATAGGTTTGGATTTATACATTGAGAATGAAGTATCAATTTAGTTTGCATCTTTCAAAATAATTTTGTTTAACTATGAGAAAATTCTTAACTATTTCTCCTTACTCACATATCATTACAATAGTTTTTATTCTAATGATGAAAAACAATGGAAGCAAACTGACTCTTGACTATTAGGCTATTTAGCATATCTATAAAGGACTAGCATTTGGTGTATATGATTTGGCTTTATATTTACAAATATTTTTCTGCTGGTGTAAAATGATGTCCAAGAAAACAAAACTGTTAATGTACACTTTCTGATATTTATCAAATGTCATGTACTTTTTGTTTGAATAAAATTTAAGACACAAAATAATTGTAGTTTTAATTTCACTATAGGATGCAGACATCTAGGACAGGAACTTTGTTTATATAAATATCTAAATATCAAGCATCTTTCTGGTGGTTTTATCTTGATATTTGTTTAATGGAACATTTTGCTCTACATTCCAAAAATCAATATTACACCAAGCATGATCCTTTGCATTTAATTCTTAATATTTTTTCATACTGAAATTAGCAAACTAGACACAAATTAAATTAAAAAATTGAAATATGATAGAGTAGTGTTCCCACCTGTGTCATTCATACTGTCCATAATCGTCATTAGTTTTTTCAGACGGGCCATCGATTCCTGTTCCCCGCCCTTAGTTAAGAAGTCAGAACTGAACCCTGGGATCATCCCCTGGGAAAAAAACATCAAAACTCAGATATTTAAGTATTGAGATCTAGAAGGTTAAGCTGAACCCTGGGATCATCCCTGGAAATGAAAAACATCAAAACTCGAGATATTTAAATATTGAGTACTATAAGATTTTAATGTAAAGTGAAATGAATAAAAAAAAATGAATTGCTTTAAAACATTAAATTTCAGAGAAAGATTTAGTGTAAAAAAAAAAGCAAAGAACTTACAAAATTATACAACATAGTTTATATCAACATTTTATTTATAATTTATCAACAGTTGCCACATTGATGTACATCCATTGTCTTTGTAGTGATCTTTCAAAACCACTTCCAATAAATGCTTCAGGATCAGTATGAAAAGAACTGATCTTAACTTTGATACATCATAATATTGAAATGAACACACTTTCATAAACCACTACATTTTGTAAAACCATTATTTAAAAGATGAATGTATATTCTTTCCTTTTTGATCAAATGAAAATAAATAATTTTGAAATAAAAATGTCTGAATTATCTCCCCTTGGACCACAGCTTTACAGCCAATGAAGCTATCATTAATTCAAAGAAACACAATTTCCAATCAGCCTTTAGAAAACAAAAAGATATAAGACTACATAATTATTCAGTCCTATCTATAATGTATTACAACAGTGTCTTTCAACCTTCTACCCAAAAATCGCGGAACAGTTAGAGAAAAAGGACCCAGTGCGTGCCAACCCATATAAATACTGACATATATTAACTTTGCCATTTTTGCCATCTTAATCATGACTTGAGCAGTTTTTATTTCATTGTTTAATAAAATAGCCCTGTAGTGGCACTAGCCATGAATATCATCTTGTAGGTGATGTTAAGGCTTGGAAGAAAAGTTTTTCTTTTACTTACCATTATTTGGCTGAATGGCCCCATTTTCATTATGTTCTGAAACTGTTCATACATGTCTCTCAGCGTGAACTGACCTGTATTAACAAAATCAGATTCATCATACTAGCACGTTTCATCATTTCACATCTACATGTAACTCATTAAACCAAACTTTAAACAAAAATACATCAGGAACAAGAGTTACTGCCCCTGTCAAAATAAACTAACGCTTGAAAACCTACTAAAGTAACAAATATTTTACACACTTTGATATACAACATAAGATAAACAATTATTTTAGATTGTTCATCTACTAACAGTGGATCAAAAAAATGTAAGTCTACAGTATTAGCAAGAAAGGAATATTTCCTATAAAATTTCTTACATAAAAATATTCAAATTTAAAGAGACCTCATGTAGCTGGCCAAGTATATAACATGGTATATATACACCAACAATCCTATACTTCCACATGTGGTGTTCCTCGAATACTTGCACTCTGTTGAAGCTACAAACTGAGGCCTTGTGTCTCAAACAGCTTTAGGGAAAGTCCCCAGACCTGTGGTAGAGAGTACCCTGATGTAAGGTTAAACACTGGCCCATGCCTCCTGTATATGCCATGAAGTGTTTCACTGAGCAGGGAGGTGGCACAGAAATTGTCATAGCATAGGCATGCAAGTAGTGTACCTGTACACTAACAGAATGGGGCTCAATCTTGGGGAACACCTTTTTTTTTTTCTCTTCTAGATCATGGTTGTAATTACTACCAATCAAACAATCATGGTTGTAATTACTACCAATCAAATAGTGAAATTTCACTGTATTTATGCTTACTCTATGGACAAAGATTTCCTGATTTTAAAATCTTCATTAAATCAAATGAAATGGTAAATATGACCATTAATAACCTTTACCATTCCTCGATACTGATAAGGATGATAAATATCTCAAATTTCTCTATGAACATTTCATACTCATTTCCACTTTTTCACAGTGTTGATAAAATAATATCTTTCCAAACTTTAGATCAACCCTAGACTCAATGAACCTTTATTCTTCATCTTTCTTTAGATTTACCTTGCTTCAGTTTCTTCATCAACTCCTCATTGTCATCCAGCTTCAATTCGTTGACTTTGTCAATCAATCCCTCAATATCTCCCATTCCTGGAACAGTAATGTGTTTCATGCTTATCTACAATTGGTACCTAACATTTTCAACATTTAATCTAGCAAAAACGTTTTCATGTCAAAAACATTTCATATAATAGATTAGGAGACTTTACAACTTTTGTCAAATTTTGATATACATCCAACTTTGGTAAAAATTTCCATAATTTACCACAATTTGAATTGACTCCCATTTATTAAACATCACCATCAATATATACTCTACAAATAAGCAACTAAAAAATATCCTTGAAAAATATAATGAATTGAATTGTGGTATTTGTATTACTGTGGATATGTTTTAAATGAACAAACAAACTTTTACAAACCTAAGAGTTTGCTGATAAATGGCTGAACTTTGAATGGTTCAAAGTCATCTGTGTGTTCTCCCGTCCCTATGAAAATCACTGGACTTTTTGTTGCAGCAACACTAAGATGGAGAGATGAGAAGAGCATGTGTAAAATAAATAAATAAACAGATAACACTTCTGTGAATTTCACAATAAATTATTACTCCTGCGAGGAACAATCAATCATTGTAGTGAATCATCTCCCTTAGACTACTTACGCACTGAGAGCTCCACCACCCTTTGCATGTCCATCCAACTTTGTGATGATGACAGAGGCAACATCAACTTTTTCCTTAAAGGCTCTGGCCTATGGGTACAGCAATAAATCATAATTATTAATTACATGATTTAATCAATAACAGGTAATCAGTAATTACATGCAATTAGTCAAAATAACCAAAAAAACTTTACAAAAATCAATAATATGTGTATGAGTCAGTTATTTTTATAATCATCTCAACATGTTTATAATTATAGGCACTGTAGATTAAAAACCAGGGTGTTTTATACCTGATGTGGTTAATCATATTTAACACATCAATTTTCTACATGAAAACATATAACAACGGACACCTACTAACAACCTTCTTTTTAAGAATGACACCAGTGTCTTAAGTAGAGACATCCTCGATACTCCAGGAGTTACAATCACTTTCACTCTCTGCACCCCTGGATTATGTTAAGGATTAGACATATAGTGAAAAGAAAAATTTAATGGAGAATTTACTTACCTGACCTTCACAAGCCTGGCCAATAGTAGCATCCATCACAAACACCACATTGTCTGGGTCCTGAGAAAAGAATGAAAATAACTGAAATCTTAGCAACTTTGAATAAAACATTACATGTATGAACAAGAGGCCCATGGGCCTTAACAGTCATCTGACAAAAAGCAAGCCAAACTCTAACAACAGTGAGTCTGCTGTTAAAACAGTGGGCTTTATTCATTTGAATAAACTTGGTAGCCCTTCCTTCCAGCATCCTACAGACCCAATATCAACACCCTGAGCATTTTGGTTACTGAGAAGAAGTCGTTTACAGATTTAAACATATTTGAACCCTGTGATCTTGAAAGTGGGTCAAGGTCATTCACTTGAACACATTTGGTAACACTTCCTCAAAGCATCCTACAGGCCCAATATCAGCACTCTAATCATTTTGGTTATTGAGAAGTCATTTGCATATTGTAAGATATTTAACCCCTGTGACCTTGAAAGTGGGTCAAGGTCATTCATTTGAACACATTTGGTAGCATGTCATCCAGCATCCTACAGGTCCATTATCAGCACTCTTGGACTTTTGCTTATTGAAGAGAAGTTGTTTGTATATTTTAACATATTTGACCCCTGTGACCTAGAAAGTGGGTTGAGGTCATTCATTTGAACAAACTTGGTAGCATGTCATCCATGCATCCTACAGGTCCATTATCAGAACTCTTGGACTTCTGCTTATTGAGAAGAAGTCGTTTGTATATTTTAATATATTTGACCACTGTGACCTTGAAAGTGGGTCAAGGTCATTCATTTGAACAAACTTGGAAGCCCTTCATCCCAGCATCATACAGACCCAATATCAGCATTCTGAGCCTTTTGGTTGTTGAGAAGAAGTTGTTTAAAAATTTTAACATATTTGATCCCTGTGACCTAGAAAGTGGGTCGAGGTTATTCATTTGAACAAACTTGGTAGCCCTTCATCCATGCATCCTACAGGCACAATATCAGCACTCTTGGACTTTTGCTTATTGAGAAGAAGTCGTTTGTATATATTAACATATTTGACACCTGTGATCTTGAAAGTGGGTCAAGGTCGTTCACTTGAACAAACTTTGTAGGGCTCCATGCCAGCATGATATGGGCCAAGTATTAGCCACCTAGGCCTTCTAGTATTTGAGAAGAAGTTTTTTGAATGAAAAGTTTACGGATGACGCACGGCGGACAACGACGGACGAAGCACGATGGCTATAGGTCATCTCGACCCTTCGGGTCAGATGACCTAAAAATAAGTAATTGTATAGTTTTTCAACTGTCAAGCAAACAGAGATTTTTTTCAAAACATTGCAATATATTCATTTGCTGGGGGCCTGAGAATGCATTTAATGGAAACACACTGTTGATTTATTCTCAAATTCTTTCCTAAGAGCAATAAAGCAAAGAAGTACTGACTCAGTGAGAGATGACAATAGAAAAGAGATCTGTTTTTAATGATAGGACAATCACATGTAACCTGTTCTATCTAAAGCTACTACAATTTTTTACTACAATTGATTTTGATAACATGCTATTTGGAAGAACATTGATTTAAAGAAATCTCAGTATTTCACAGATTTGTGGTGTTCCCTGGGTCTGAGTAACTTACCACTGCATTGTTAACCTGTAACATTTCCTCAAATAGCGAGTCCTCTTGCTTGTGTCGACCACTTGTGTCAACAATAATCACTTCAAAGTTTTCATTACGGAATTTGTCAACGCCTTCCTGAGCAATCACAACTGGGTCCATCTCAGTATAACTGTAAACAGTAAATGATTTACCGCTGAAGAAATACATTCTAAATATGGCTAAAACTGATTTTAATGAGCGCTATGTTAAACTTTACATACATCTCTATATAATTCCCCAAAAGATTGTGAGATCAAATGAAATTCACCAAGGCAGGTAAAAATAGTGATTTCAGCACCATATATCTTTAAAATAACATATGGCACATATCTCAATTATCATTCACACTAAACATATCACTTATACAGGCAATATCTTCATTCTATATACATAACTTTACTAATTAGCTATTTCACCTTTCTTATCTTTCCATTATGATATCATTTTCATTAACTAAGTGAATGTTTGTGAAGATAAAGGAGTAACAGTGTGTTATGGGTCAAGATTAATCAACCACTGAAATATTTGACAAGCACAAGATAGACTTACCTTCCATAGAAGGGAATTCTTGCCTTTGTGGCATTCTGTTTCAACTGATCAAAAGCTCCAGCACGGAATGTGTCAGCACAAATGAGACAAGTTTTCCAGCCTTTCTTTTGGTAATAATATGCCATCTGTCAAAAAAATGGGACAGTCTGTATGTTCTTGGACTAAAAACTGTTATGTTTCAGAAATACAAAACTAATCATTGCTTCAAAAGTTTAGAAGAAAGGGGAAAAGTTGACACTGGAAACCATTCAGAAAAGGACATAAAACAGCATCTCATTCTGTCATTTATGATTCAGATTTGTTTTTTCTTACATGTAAATAACATCTGTATATATTCTTAAGGGGATGGAAAATTGTAATATTCCCCCTCAAAATCTATCAAATTTAGTATATCTATATATATATATGATTCTACTTCAAGCCACTATATTAAGTCCTTTCTACATAGAAAACATTTAAATGATTTTATCACTGCATCATCTTCCTAATAATCAGAAAAGAACTCAATCATTTCTGTAGCAGTTTTTAGGAGAGCACAGAACAGCCTCCCAAAATTTTGATGAATCATGTTATAGCAAACTCTAAAAGCCGTACAAGAAATGCCAAGGACTTAAATATCCAAGGCCTAAAAATCACTGACAGCTCCTCCTTTAATTTTTGAGGGGGGCTCAGGAAAGTATGTCTGGTTACATTTAGCTACAAAGGCAACAATTGCAACATAAGGGCCATCAGATATGAGTTATGCTTCCTGACTTGGACAAAATTTAAGTATGAATAATAAAAAAGCAATAAGAGAGTTATGATTCATGTGCACTGCTCTCCTACTCATTAAGACCTATCTAATTATGATGTTTCATGTTAATATCTCTTATAGTTTTAGTGTAACGCTCAAGACAAAATATAAGTATGAAAAATAACAAAAGGCAATAATTCCTAAATTAGGCAAAAGAAAGTGAAGGTTCTTGTGCATTACACTTCTCCTTGCTGTGACCGATCTACCTATGATGTTTCATTTAAAAACCTCTTATAGTTTTAGTGTTATGCTCTGGACAAAATTATGATAGATGGACAAACAAACAGACAGACAGATGAAGCGGCGACTATATGCTTTCCCTTTGGGGAACATAAAATTATTACTTCAAATGCCACAACTAGAAATCAAACCCAAGGCCCCTGGTTTACTATACTGTTATTAAATTCTTGGGGTGGTCAGGTGGCACACTTGCCTTTCACCTAGCTGTCCGGGGTTTCATTCCCCGAACGGACACTAAAAGGTAAGGGGTCACCTGCCCCACTATATGGGTTTTCCCAGGGTACTCCAGTTTCCTCCCATAGAAAGACTTCTCGAATGCTTCCATCTGGGCCAAAAAGAGTGATTATTATAAGTTGAAATAACTTGTTTCGCAATTGTAAAATAAATACAGTTTATAGTTATATTTAAATTCTCCTAGCCAGGTCGAGATAGAGCAGCTTGTAATTCAATAGGATTGCTGAAATCTTTGTAAATACCTTAGTACATGTTGTGGTTTTGCCACTGCCCTGCAGACCAACAAACATGATCACATTATTTTTGCCCTTCATTGGTTGCCAGGATTTTACACCAGGATCAATCAGTTTTACCAACTCTTTGAAGACAGCAGACTGAATCATTCTGCGCTTATTAAGTCCTCCAGCCATTTCCTCAAAGTCTATCACAGAGCGCACATTCTCTCGTAGCTGTTTTACAAGTTTAATGTTAACATCTGCTTCCAAGAGAGCCTTGCAGATCTCTTTGAGCATTTCATTAAGAACCTGAAAGAATGAAAATATGTAATTATTAAACAAAAACAAAAGCCTGAGTGTTTATTCTTATATTCTAATTTCATATTTCTCAAACAAAAAATCAGTTTAGTTAGAAAGAAATACCAAACTAAAATCAATGTGGGGATTAATGAAATTGGTAATTAACAAGGTCATTCATTTTAAATCAACATCAAACCGAAGCCTGTAGTTTATTGGTCTAATGCTTTGTGTTTTGGAGGGAATTTTCCAGCCATTTCTGAGTTGTATATAGGTAACTGGACGTTATAAAGAAAAATGACAGCATACCACTCACAGAAAGAGAGACAAAGATGAATTTAATGGAAATTTTCTCCAGCAACAAAACATTTCATGTAAAATCATTTGGCAAATAATATAAAACTATTGTACTTGACAAAGAAACAAAAACTTGAGTGGAAAACTATTGATACTATTTTATGTACATAATGATGTTCCACATGTTACTTTTACCAACTACACCAAACAGCCTCTAGAGACTGGAATTTACCTCTTCATTGATAATGGTGGCATTGCTCAAAGATTTTAAAGCCGAAGTAATCTTCCTTCCAAGATCTGCTAACACCATTTTGATAACGTCGGTGTTACTTTCTTGACACTTCTATTTCTGGAAACTACCAAGATCTGATGAAACTTCTACGAACAGCTGTTCCGTCGCAAGATGGGAGCTTAAAAAAAGTAATTATCACGGATAGAAAAGCGATTATCAAGAAATAAAATTGTCCTGTAGACGAAACATATTTACGTGAGGGAGTTATTAGGAATCATGGTGAAAAAAATGTACACCAGAACCGTTCATATGTGTACAAATATATCTATTCTATACGACACTGCTCTCCTAGAGGAAGTACGTTTATATTCGGTGTAACCGGAACTAGAACCCCCGACTATTTGTTCTGATCTGTATATGAACATCTATCCAAATGCATTCACTTTATCGTTTGCTTCATTCCTTACAAGCCAATTTTTAGATACAGCTGTTATTGTGCCGACTGAAAAGGACTAATTACACTTACTAAAAAGTACATACGAATGCATAGCATTCATAAAGTGTCTTCTTTATTTGGGCAAGAATCTTAACAAACACATACAGGTTGTAATTCGCACAAGACTTACGACTTTATCTGAACAAACAAGTGCGCGTTTTGGAGTTTTGAATAAGTGGAAATTTCTCTTTAGATTTAACCATCAAACAATGCCTATATTCAACACATTTCTTTCGACCATGTAAAAAGGACATGTATCGAAACACAACTGATGTAGCCCTCAATACATCGTGTTCAGATACATTCCGTTACCAGACGCTATGACAGTAAACCCAAATCGCTCAAGGGCCGTCACTCTCTTGAGTAGAGGCCCAGTGTTCTCAGGTTAGGATTGTTCATCCAAGCGGACAGCGGTCAACACCCACAGCAAATAACAGGTAGTTATCACACAAAATTTTGCATCGTTGAAACGGTAGTTCAGTACACTAAAGTTTCTGTATTGAGTGATTTGATCTGCAACGAAGAAAAAAATGTGCGCACATTTTGCAAAATTTTTCATAAAGTTTTGACAATTTACCGGTACACTCGTGACAGTACTTGGCAACTGACTGCTGACTAGTTTATTGTGCGGATTAGATTTAGTGTGACCTCGTTATCTCAAGCTACATATATTTGTTTATTGTTCAATTGTAAACGTTACATGTTAACTATCTTCTTATCCAGCGATCTCGATTATTTAGATGGTTTCTGCGCTGAACCTCACATGTTACGGAAAATCTGTTTACTGTGGACCTCAGTCGAGCCAAGTCGTTTCGGCCTCTCCATGTTCGACCTTCTAGTCGTTCCGGGATATCCCAAACCAATCCATCCTTTGTCGTTCCGGCCCCTAATCGATCAGAGCTCTAGTCAATCCGACTCCCAACATAGTAACAGTCAATATTGCTGTACTTTGCGTCTCATGACCTTGCGTATTGAGTAATAATTAAATTTGTTTGTCTAATTGATTGCATTTTCAGTATGAATAATTAGATTTTATCAAAAACAAAATAGAAAACAATAACAACCAATCATAGTTTCCTTTTTATAAGTGATATCAATGTTCCATTCATTTCATCATATAAAAATCACTTTCTTAATTATTACATCATCATCATCATCATCATCATCATCATCATCATCATCATCTCTAATGAACATTGATAGATATAAAATTTGTTCATACCTGCTTGTGTAACATACAATTAGTATTCAATTAGTATAACAAAGAAAGGTTTATTACAGTTGATTATGTACAACTATTTATCACCAGCCTATGATTGATTAATGTATAATGCTAAAATTATTTGAAAATTAGAAACTGACTACCACATTTGGTCATCAGAAATATTTTATAAATAATTATTCATATAAAATTACTTATTCTTATATTAAAATGTAAAAGTTTGTTTTTTATTCTAAATCTTGGAAAAAAAACATAAGGGAGTTTGAAATTTTTAGATGTAGTATCATATTACTATCTGTTACTGGTCAAGATATGTACGATTACTGAGTACGAAAATAAAAAGATAAATGTATAATAATAAGAAAAATTACTAAGTTATGCAAGCAGTCATACTACAATGCCAATGTCACAAATCAGTGTAGATTACACAAAAGCACATACTACTAACAATAAAAATATTGAAGTGGTAAGAACAGCAATAGGATATATGTTAAAATGTATAAATATGTCTATTTAAATATACCAGGGAGTCTGGAATTTTATAAGAATTAATATATAACTATTTATTACTGGTTAGCTTGTAATTATGTACAATGTATTACTGGTTAGCTTGTAATTATGTACAATGTATTACTGGTTAGCTTGTAATTATGTACAATGTATTACTGGTTACCTTGTAATTAAGTACAATGTATTACTGGTTACCTTGTAATTATGTACAATGTATTACTGGTTAGCTTGTAATTATGTACAATGTATTACTGGTTAGCTTGTAATTATGTGCAATGTATTACTGGTTAGCTTGTAATTATGTACAATGTATTACTGGTTAGCTTGTAATTATGTACAATGTATTACTGGTTAGCTTGTAATTATGTACAATGTATTACTGGTTAGCTTGTAATTATGTACAATGTATTACTGGTTACCTTGTAATTAAGTACAATGTATTACTGGTTAGCTTGAAAGTAAGCATTTCTATAATGATACATATATATAAAATGAAACTAGCTGTTATGTTAATGCAACTAAACAACAACTGGTGTAAATATATCTTGACTATATGCTATCTAAATTCCTATCGAAGCCGTCTTGATATTTTCTTATTCAAATATTGTTATAATTATTAAGTAATAAAATACTTGTATCATAATTCCTTTATTATATTTTTTCTGTACTTGAAGTAATAATTTTCCAAATTGTAATAACATATTTTCTCAAGAAACTATTAATTTTATTGGGATAGGCATATCAAAACAAATAAACAATTATAATGATAAAAGGTATTTGTTAATAATATTGCCTATCTGTGCCACAAGTTTAATGTGTCACAGGTACTGTGTGTCCTCGACAGGTACTGCAGCATGTCGCTTCCTGTCGAGGGCAATTTCTCACTTATGTCAATACAGTCATTATATGTCTTCAGGTGAAACAGTAAAGACAAAACCAGTGATAATATAAACAAATTTTGTTTGGAAAAATCAGGGGTCGGAATGGCAATGAAAACTGGGGTATGGTCGATAGTTTGACTACAGTCTATCTATGACCAATAGTTCATGTGTCATTGATCCAGAGCCATTCCCAGATGTGATCTGTGCAATCAGTATCTTCACTGACACTGTTTATGTTTGTTCATCAGCAGGTTTAATGTCTGAGATGGACCAGCCACTTCCTCTCCGTCTGTTGCGTTACTCATTGCGAGTTGCATATGTCATAGTAACTAACTTCATGGCAATCCCAGCATACATTACATGGACATTTCTCTTGTACCCTTTGAAGTGCCTAGCTCCTAACATCTTCTGGACCATTGAACCCGTCCTGTTTAAAGGCTTGCTGGCTTTTGTCACATTCTGGGTCAGCTCAGGCGGATATAGAAGTAAGTATCAACTTTAAAACATTCTCTTCTGCTATACTATTGACCTAGAATAATATTTTTCAGCATATTTTTGGGATGAAGTTGAACAAAGTTTGTGAAAAGAATTGCCCTTGACCAATATTCAAGTTCACAGTAACCAAATTTGTTAAAAGTTTCAAAAGACTTCTTTTGAACCAAAAGACATAGAATCATGACATTTGGCTGGATTATTCCTAGCGGGAAGCCTGACAAGGAATACAGAAAAAAAAGAAGGAAGGTTGAGCTATATCACATGGTCAAAGGGTTTAAATTAGGATATACCTTCAACAATTTGTTCTTCTCAACCATCACTTTAATATTGAAATCTGTAAAAAGCATTGAATACCAAAGTAGCAATATAGGCCCATTGCATTCCTTGTTAGTTTTTAGGTAGTTTTCTTGAGGTCTGCCAGTGGAATTGAGCTGAATCTTGCTTGAAATGACCAATGTTGTTTTTTTTTGAGTCAGTTCAAAATCCAATACAGCTACCATCTTAAAAAAACACATTTCAAACTTCTTATCTAAATCTAGTGGTGCTGTTGAGCTGAAAATTGACTGGAATGTTATATTTTTTCATCATTGTCAAAAGTTCAATATGGCAGCCATGTTGTAAGATGATTGCACAATCATGGTTTCCCCAACCAATACCTTTTTTCAAATTCTACAAGTAGAATTGAGCTGAAACTTGTTTGAAACAATCTTTCTTTACTAAATGTAGCTATTTTTACAAGTTTGTCCGATATCCAATAATGCCACCATCTTGAAAACATATTTTGTAAATTTTTCTGGATTCCACTGAGTTTCAGTCCCATGGTTATATAAGTCTGAGTTTCAGTCCCATGGTTATATAAATCTGAGTTTCAGTCTCATGGTTATATAAGTCTGAGTTTCAGTCCAATGGTTATATAAGTCTGAGTTTCAGTCCCATGGTTATATTAGTCTGAGTTTCAGTCTCATGGTTATATAAGTCTGAGTTTCAGTCCCATGGTTATGTAAGTCTGAGTTTCAGTCTCATGGTTATATAAGTCTGAGTTTCAGTCTCATGGTTATATTAGTCTGAGTTTCAGTCCCATGGTTATATAAATCTGAGTTTCAGTCTCATGGTTATATAAGTCTGAGTTTCAGTCCCATGGTTATATAAATCTGAGTTTCAGTCTCATGGTTATATAAGTCTGAGTTTCAGTCCCATGGTTATATAAATCTGAGTTTTGTTCTCATGGTTATACAAGTCTGAGTTTCAGTCTCATGGTTATACAAGTATGAGTTTCAGTCTCATGGTTATATAAATCTGAGTTTCGTTCTCATGGTTATACAAGTCTGAGTTTCAGTCCCATGGTTATGTAAGTCTGAGTTTCAGTCCCATGGTTATATAAGTCTGAGTTTCAGTCCCATGGTTATGTAAGTCTGAGTTTCAGTCCCATGGTTATGTAAGTCTGAGTTTCAGTCCCATGGTTATGTAAGTCTGAGTTTCAGTCCCATGGTTATATAAATCTGAATTTCGTTCTCATGGTTATACAAGTCTGAGTTTCAGTCTCATGGTTATACAAGTCTGAGTTTCAGTCCCATGGTTATATAAATCTGAGTTTCAGTCCCATGGTTATGTAAGTCTGAGTTTCAGTCCCATGGTTATATAAATCTGAGTTTCAGTCCCATGGTTATGTAAGTCTGAGTTTCAGTCCCATGGTTATATAAGTCTGAGTTTCAGTCCAATGGTTATATAAGTCTGAGTTTCAGTCCCATGGTTATATTAGTCTGAGTTTCAGTCTCATGGTTATATAAGTCTGAGTTTCAGTCCCATGGTTATATAAATCTTGAGTTTCAGTCTCATGGTTATATAAGTCTGAGTTTCAGTCCCATGGTTATATAAATCTGAGTTTCAGTCTCATGGTTATATAAGTCTGAGTTTCAGTCTCATGGTTATATTAGTCTGAGTTTCAGTCCCATGGTTATATAAATCTGAGTTTCAGTCTCATGGTTATATAAGTCTGAGTTTCAGTCCCATGGTTATATAAATCTGAGTTTTGTTCTCATGGTTATACAAGTCTGAGTTTCAGTCTCATGGTTATACAAGTATGAGTTTCAGTCTCATGGTTATATAAATCTGAGTTTCGTTCTCATGGTCATACAAGTCTGAGTTTCAGTCCCATGGTTATGTAAGTCTGAGTTTCAGTCCCATGGTTATATAAGTCTGAGTTTCAGTCCCATGGTTATGTAAGTCTGAGTTTCAGTCCCATGGTTATATAAATCTGAGTTTCAGTCCCATGGTTATGTAAGTCTGAGTTTCAGTCCCATGGTTATATAAGTCTGAGTTTCAGTCCAATGGTTATATAAGTCTGAGTTTCAGTCCCATGGTTATATTAGTCTGAGTTTCAGTCTCATGGTTATATAAGTCTGAGTTTCAGTCCCATGGTTATATAAATCTGAGTTTTGTTCTCATGGTTATACAAGTCTGAGTTTCAGTCTCATGGTTATACAAGTCTGAGTTTCAGTCTCATGGTTATATAAATCTGAGTTTCGTTCTCATGGTCATACAAGTCTGAGTTTCAGTCCCATGGTTATGTAAGTCTGAGTTTCAGTCCCATGGTTATATAAGTCTGAGTTTCAGTCCCATGGTTATGTAAGTCTGAGTTTCAGTCCCATGGTTATATAAGTCTGAGTTTCAGTCCCATGGTTATATAAGTCTGAGTTTCAGCCCAATTGGTATGTAAGTCTGAGTCTCTTGTTTCTACAGTGATAGAGTCAGGAGATCAACTAGACAAGATATTGGAGGAAAAAGCTATCCTCCTTGTCAATCACCAGTCCACATCAGATGTGCCCGTTGTCATGGCAAGTTTCCAACCCAAAGGCCTCGCTATAGGACACATGATGTGGATTATGGACTATATCTTCAAATTTACAAATTTTGGATGGATTTCTTATTTCCATGGAGATTTCTTTATACAACAGGTTTGTATCAATATAGGTTATTTGAAATGTTTTTAATGGAATTAATGAATGTTTTTATTTTTAGATAGGAAATTGAAATACATGGTTTTAAATATATCCTTCTAAATATTTAGAGTTGAATAATCATAACTTAGACTTGGAATGTTGAGGAATGTTCTTCAAACTCTTGACTTCTGTTACATTTCCTGTGATTACTACGACCATGAGTATTGTGTGAACACTTTGTTTGTTTTACTTCTTCATGATAATCTTGTCAAATCCTAGATCAGATTTACACTCTCATTCCCACAAAGTATACTGACGCATCAACTGCTTCAATACTTGGTTATTAGTATACCTAACACTAAACCCTAAGAGCATGACACAACAATTAATCTCCTCCTAAGGCTTTCAACAGCACACGTCATGTGTATCAGGAAAAACAGGGAAGTATTCTCTACAGGGACTACAGAAAATACATAATAAAGATTAAAGATGATACAGTTATAGAAAATGCGATGAAAGAAAGATTTATAATTTATCTGTATAATGATATTATGGACATTATTACAACTTCCATCATTTACAGGTAGTTATAGTCTTTGGTACAATTGTATTTCTGTTAATATCAATTAACCCAGAAAGCCACGTCGTGCAATATCATTCGATGAATCATTCTCAGCAAGTTTTGTAAGTGTGAGCCAATATTGCATTTTTTTAATTTGAAATAATCAGAAAAGTCAAAGTTCTTCTAAAATCAGAATAGAAAATTAGTATGCAAGATATTCTTTGTCTCTCCTCTTCGTCATATTTTAGAAGTTATCTTGTATTAGTGCTTTGCACAAAACTATTGCGCTAATATATCACTTCTGTATATGGTTTATATAGAGCAATTATCATTGTTTCCAAATTCACCATTGTGCTAATTTGATGAAATGTTTTAATGCACTAAAATATAATTGAACTAAATTAAGCATGTTTGCACTGTAAACCCATCAAAGAATCAGGTTGTAATTTGTTTGGTGTGTTAAAATAAAGAAAGAGGGAAGAGAGGAGAAATTATCAGCTTTTTTTGGTATTGGAAAAAGTTGTACCTTCATTGGTAAGTTTGTGATATACAGACATACATGTACAATTTGTTGCAGGGTAAAGTAGGCAGGGAAGAACAACTTACACTTCTAGGAAATCATCTAAGTACAATATTTAAGAAATCTCTCCAGAAATGGATAATTTTATTCCCAGAAGGAGGATTTTTGAGGAAAAGACGCAAGAGAAGCCAAGAGTAAGTAATCTGATATTAGATGTCATCATACTTTTTACTCTCTTTAGATATTAGTACAAAAAGGACACTGATCATATACTTTATCTACTGGTCATCGGTCTGATGACTTAGAGTCAAGATATTTCAACAATACCAAACGGGGACAAAGAGCTTTTACATTTATTCAAATGAATTATCTTGACCCTCATTCATGCTCACGAGGATGAAATTTCTTGAAACTTTAAAACAACTTCTTCTGAATAAGCGACCTATTGCAATCTAGCTTTTGAATAACTAAGGGAACTAGAGGTCATCATGTTTGGCCAGTAGAACCATGGAATGAAGGCTAAGAGCTATCAGGATTGTTTAAATGTCACAAGGGTAAAATGTGTTAAGATATATGGAACTTGTCTTCTTAATGGTTATCTGAGTAGAACCATGTTGAAAAGAAGGGGATACAAAGGCTTGATTTAATATAAAAAAATAACAGAAAAATCTGTCCTTCTTAATAAAATATCATTTGTTTAAGTAATTAATAATGGAAAGTTTTGTATGTGGGGAAATTTTTACCACAGTTCAACTTTTGCCAATTAGATTTTTGTCAATACAACAAAAATAAAAGGTTTGCTATGTTTGAGCTATAGCTGAAATGTATCTTATTATTTTAGAGCAATTTCAAATCTTGGCAAAAATAAAGAGTTTTACACATGGGTGTATATAAACCTTTTGATAATTTCCCTTTTCACAACTATCTCCGTTCTTTAACACCCACTTTACAATAGGTAGGATAGAAATATAAAGGAGATGTGTTTCATCACTCTAAAGATTAAAACTTAAAAAAGAGAATGTTAAATAAATGTATTTTTGTATCACAGTTTTGCTAAGAAACATGACTACCCTGTGTTACAACATGTGACGTTACCGCGACTTGGAGCTATACAGGTGGTCATCAACACATTATGTGAGAACAATCATCCAGCTGCTGGTATGTATCCACTTTTATCGTATTTGATTTTATAAAGTGCTATCAGATTACAAACACACAAGAGGAGTACTTGTTACCTTATTACAAAGAAAAGTTTTCACAAGAAATATGATGATGTATTAAACTTCCGAAGAAGAAAATGCAATTTGAACTTAGGTGGGGAATAGATAGACTTCTGGGTGTGTAGGCTTGGTACTCAACATATTATAACCACAAGATTATGACAGGACAATTTACTGATGTATTAAAATGATTACAATTTACATTCATGAGCATATAAATGTCAAGTGGATAAGGACAAATTCAAGAGGAAGTGTGCTAATGCTTCATGTTGAATGCCAACTTGAAGAAGTTCAATCCCTATCCTGTAATGAGAGAAGTAAACCTCAGTTTACTTACTTCAATACTCATACACTGTGTTGGTTCATGAGCTTGTAATACACAATGGAAAGTTACATTATACAGTCAGAAATGTAAAGATTTACTCACTAATCATGATGTCACATGTATGTGTTAGCATTGTGTTTGTATTGAGTAGTCTTCCAACATGCCTTTATACAATAACTTCATTTGCAAATTAGTGCGATTGTCATTTCTGTTTAGACAGTTTAGCTATCCTTGCATTACTGTCTGCAAGTTGGAAATTTCCATTAATCTTGTTTTTATTTCAACAGAAGTAAAAGAACCTACAGTGAATCAAAAATCAAAATCTACAGGAATTGAATGGATTGTAGATATGACAATAGGCTACCCCCGAGCTGAGCCACTTGACCTCCACGGAATGTGTATAGGGTACTGGGCTCCACGTGATATCTCCGTTCACTACCGCATCTATCCCATCAAAGATGTACCCACTCACAACACCGAACTCTTCACACGTTGGCTGTATGACCGCTACCATGAAAAGGAAAATTTTCTGGAACAGTTTTACTCTAATGGTGTAAATATAGAAGATGCTGACAAAGAAAACAGAAAACAGCCGCGGATGAAGAGACAAAGTGTTGATCTAGATCTGATAAGTCTGTTATTTTTTCATTTTTTCTATGCAACCTCCACATACATCTTCTGGTGTTTTCTGTACTCACCGTTCTTTAGTTTGTTGTCCTCGTGCCTAGCCTTTGTGTTTTGACCACTGCTAGACATGGTCATATTAGATTGGTATGTTATACTGAACAAGAGTGGTAATTTACAAAATTACGATGAGCATTCACTTCAGCAACTCATAAGTCATATTTTGTTGGCAGTATGTTTAGATTTTCTTGTTTTAATACTCCTGCAGTGAAGTTAAGTGTATGTATAAACATAGGGACACACATTTGTCCTTTAATTGTATCTGTCTGAAGACACGAATATGTCTTAACATGTTTCCTTTAGATTTTAAAGAAACTTCATATTTGAATAACACAAGTGTTTTTTTTTTGTTTTATTTTTTTTTTCATTTAACACTTACTTTGTGGATTTTCACTCCATGAAGTAGAAAAAACATGTCTAGTACATTTCTCTGTATATTATGTCCAGATTCCGTTTGTCATTCTGTCAAATCTGACTACTTCTCCTGAAGCACTGGACATATTTCAATGAATATGCTTTATCAGTATAAACTAGATCTGGTAACTATGCAATCTATTTTTTCATTGTCGATGTTAAGGTGTTACATATTATACCAATAGCTACATATTGTCTGCTGTTTTGCAATAATAAAAAACTATTACAACTATGTTTGAAAATCAGTACTTAGAAGATTAGGTGTGACTGGTCATGGATATTGACAGATTAGTTAAATTGTCCAATAGCTAGCTTTTGTGGCTTCGCAGTTGAGTGGAGTGTCCAAAGTTAAGCAATGTCAGATGTGGTCAGCAGTTGGATGACCACTTGGTGAACTCTCCAGTGCATGTTATATTTGGTGGCAGTGCAGTGGACTGGTATCCTGAAGGGTGCTCTAAGGCAGCATGAGAGGAACAATGATCTTGGAGCTTTGCTGGAGTTTCTGGCACTGCTACAACAAGATGACAGTTGTGTATGCTGAGGATGCCAGGGTAAATTCCAAGAGCTTTAGGACTACCCATATTAGTGAAGGGGGATAATGTGACTTTTCATGGATATGGGCTTGTAATTCAGTAACATTATCCAGTTACTGTGCAGTGAAGTGATATAGCCATGTTCTGAAGTTAAATATTGTCTAGAGGGGTCAGAACTTGGATGAGGAACTGCTTAACACACCAACATGTGTATTCTATCATGAATGTAGAATGTAAAAAATGTAGATTTGATTTGCTGAATAATGTAGTGCTATTTTGTGGTTGACATACTTAGGTTGCTATGTCATTGATGAGTTGAAGTTTTAAATGGACGTTAATTATATCTTGTTTTTATTAATGTGACCCAATCCCTCTGAGACATAACTTCTGTTAATGTCAAACAAGAAATAGTAGCTTTTGTTTCATTCAATATTGATTATGTTTAGTATCAATAGTAGGGAAAATTACTGGGCTAACAAAACTAGAAAAGATCAAGGCATGAAATCTATAGAAGAAACATTTATATAAAGGGATGTTCCTATAAAACATCTACCAGACCCTAGAACTTCAAAATAAATCACTTCTGTCCAGAGTTTGATTTCCCACCTATTACTTCTAAGTAAATTATAAATTTGATTCTAGGGATGATACCCTTCAACAAACAGTTCTAGGGAGGGGCCTATGTTTTATTGGAATAGCCCTTAACAAACCCTAAGGGACAAGTTTATCACATTCATAATGAACCAAAGGAACAAAACATGTTTATATAACCTCAGGGATGTTTATAACCTGTCCAAAGGTTGTTTTTTTGTCTTGCATTTAACTGATTTAGATATAGCTGATGTATTTAATGGTTATGGAACCAAAGACAGTAAAGCTAGTCAAACTGAAATACCAACATTTATTACACTTTATTGATCACTTATATCTAAACTATTTTTGATTTTTCAATGAGTTTTTAGAATTGATTTTTCCAGCAAAAACACTCCAACTGTTTTTTAAACGGCATAACTACATTTATGAATCATCAGTATTAACTCTCATGTTCACAAACAAAAATCAGTCATGATTCTTATTTCTGGATTAATAACTCACTACTATCGACCAAATCAGCATCACTTTTGTTTTCCTACTTTGTTTTGTAATCAAGGTCAGTTGTAGTATCATGTTAGATGGCGCCTCTTACTATACATAACTGGTACATTTTTTTAGTGTTCCTTAAATTTGCTACATTTGGTTTTTACACAAACTGTTTACCATGAAGAAAAACTTGTAATGTATGATAGGGTCTATTTCTTGGCCTTGATGTCAACTTTCTGTGGCAATTATACATACATTCCATATTATTGTTCATTGTATTTTTAGGGTAGTAGAACTCTTTTACAAAGGAGATGCATCTAGTAATAGGTAGCATGTTACCTTAATAGGTTTATATTTCTGACTACATCATTGAAGATTAAAAAAGACTGTTTGGCAGACCCTGAGGGACTCCATAAGCTATGCCATACCCCAGTCTATTCCAGAGATCTGATCTAACTCTGGCAACATACCGACCAAGCCTAAGACTTACAGAGATGGTATACAGGCTACAGTCATCTCCCTCCAAACTGCTGAAGATTTGTTACATTCGTGAAAATGGACATTAAATATATATCTAATCAGTTATTACTGAATTGCTCACAACTAGACTGATATAGGCAGATTGTCTCTCTCAAGGTACCAGTAACAGGTTAGTTATGTTATTAGTTCTGAAGCTGATGATACATTCTGTGAGATATCTCAAGATATAAATTCTGTGTCAGGGTAGTTCTGTTTTTAGTTCTGAAGCTGGTGATACATTCTATGGTCTATGAGGCCTGATGTAAAGAACTGTTTTTTTTTTGTTTGGTGTCTACAGAAAGATTAGCTTTTAATTAAGGTTGTGGTGTTGCTGATACTATACTTTGATATATATAAGTGTGACCACCGTGATATTTTATAGAAGAATGGTGGAAGTCTCTTAACATTTAACATAATTGTATGTCAGTTTCAGTTCCCAATGTTTAATTATTGTACTCTGGGCTCAGATTGTTTCTGTAGGAAATGGAAATAACTATGTATACATGTAAATGTTAAGATATTAATGCATTTATGAAATCAGACTGGATTCAGATATATTTTAAACTTTTGTATGGTAGAGTAAATGTAACAAAAATGTCTTCCATACATTAGCTCTAACTCATTAAATGGTCATGTATATTCCCTCAATCCATTTTAATCAAGGTGTAAAATTATTTTTGTCTAAGATGGGATAAAGTTCACTAACATATATATAGAGAGAGAGCGAGACAATACCCTGATCAAGTTGAATACACACGCATTGAGAAATTTTATATTTGTGTGAAAATTACGCTCTATTCATCCTCAGTTATACACTGTAAAAATTTGACAGAGCTGAATAGGACTTTTGTTTCCATTACAAGTTCACATATCTATAAATAACTCAATATTTACATGGTAAACACGGTAGCACAGAAGAAATTGTGTTGGTAATTTGATTTTGAGCTCATGTGGATGGGTGATGTAAGTGTGTATCTATTCAAGCTGACTTCTACCTCTTTGACTGCATTCCATTAATGAGATTTTCCACTCAACCATAATTCCTGTAGGCTGTATGTAAGTAAGGATTACACAATTCTCTGTGACAGAAAATTTACATTACACATCGGTCTTCTTTTTATAGGTCATAACATATTAAAAACAGATTCTGTTGATAATTGATCATTGTCAATGTTAAAAGGTCAAAGGCCACACTTGACCACATTTGATGATCAGAAGGTCATGGGTGAATGAACTCATCATAATGTGAGCACATTAGCCATCTTAACAACCAATCACTCATAGCTTTCAATTTCTCCAACTAAATTATATTATAAAGAATTTTGCATTATTTTTTTGAACTAACAATGTTATGGATGTCAATTCAAAATTAAAAGGTCAGAGGTCACACATGAGCTATGGGAGCTATATGTGTCTATGTGTCCACTTTGTGTTTATATCCAGATTTATCGTTAGAAATTGAGGTATATGTACTATGGAATGTGGGATATGTACCAGTGGTTATGGTAAGTTTGTATATAAAAAGGTACACAGATGCTACAGCTAAATGTTACCATATATAGTGTATACTGTGCTTAGATCAGGGGACCAAAACATCACATTTTACTGAACCCCTGAGGTGGACTGCAAGTTTTGTAATTTTACTGAACAGCAATATATGTAGATGAATTTATTACGAGGAATGGGCTTATTTTTGGGTAAAAAATAGAAGTATCAGGTAGTGTGAGTGGGACCACTCAGCTCAAAACTTTAGTGTAGTTTGTTTAACTGACAAATAACAACCAATTAATGTTATTTTTCAAATTATACATTATGCCACAGACCAAGAACCAGACTGTTAGCCAGGCAACTAAGAAATGGTTTCTTTATACAGTTTAGCTTTGAGCATTTGATTAATTTCAACACAAAACCTCAATTAGAACGTCATTGGTTGGCTTTTTACAGGATCTGTGGGGAGGCCAACACAAAACATCAAACTTAAAGTCATTGGTTGGCTTGTAAAAGTATTGTGGAGATAACATTGGTTACATTTTATCTTGGATGTTCACATCATTTGATAACCACCTTCATGCAGAATGCAGAATACTTTTATGATTAAGTCTATATAAAAGTTGCTCAAGTAATTTCATTAAGACCAAAGCAATGTCATTTTATCACTGTTGATTCATCATGTCAAATATTAATTAGAATGCTTCTATGTACAGAAACCTTGCTTTATTGTGTAAAGGGGGATTATGGCTTTATCAGATGTTATGCAAGTAAAGATTTAAATTTCCCAACTAATGTGTAACTAGCCAGGCTAAGGTGTAACTAGCCAGGCTAAGGTGTAACTCAGCCCAACTAAGGTGTAACTAGCCCAACTAAGGTGTAACTAGCCAGGCTGAGGTGTAACTCAGCCCAACTAAGGTGTAACTAGCCAGGCTAAGGTGTAACTAGCCAGGCTGAGGTGTAACTCAGCCCAACTAAGGTGTAACTAGCCAAACTAAGGTGTAACGCAGCCCAACTAAGGTGTA